TCTCCTCTGCTCCTGGGCATATTGGAAGCAAAAAGAGTAAAAGTTTTATTGAGCAAGGGTATTTTTACCAGAATTTTGAACATCTGGACCATTAAGTCAAGTGTTCTGGTCCTGGCCAGGGCTCTATTAATTTATATTCTATTGAGTGAAGTTATTCCCCTCTGCCATTCACTTTTGATAATCAATCACTGTAGAAAATGTATTTGAAAGGTTAATAGAATAAGATAATTATGCAAGAACTTTTGTTGTATAATACAAAAAGTACTTTCAATAGTATTAATAATCAGGTGCATGGCCGTAGGAACCGGGGAGAGGGGGGGGCACGGGGGGCCGTGCCCCTCCCCCCTATAATTTTGCCGATATATAGATTACTATAGTAAAGATACATGTAGATACTATGTGCCTGTGCCCCCTCAATAAAAACGTTTGATGACTTTTTTTTTTTTTTTTTTTTTTTTTTTTTTTTTTTTTTTTGCTTGTCATGAAATTTTTGGTAGTTGATGACCTTTTGTTTTTGTTTTTTTTTTTTTGCTTGTCAGGAAATTTTTTTGGTAGTGGCCCCTCAAAATGTATGGCTGTGCCCCCCCCCCCCCCCCCCCCTCCCAAAACTGAAATTGCTTCCTACGGGCCTGAGGTAGACTTGGAAATTTATCTTCTTAAATGTTCTTCAAAAGGCAAGTGAGGCCAATGTGAGAGGTAATAATATTGACATTTTATTAAAAGTCTGCATGGTAATAGTGATAAATGGGGGACAGATAGAAAGATACTAGACCAATTATTTTGTTGATCATAATCATAGTATTTTTCTTGCTATTTGGCAACAAAGCTTCATTTATCAGTTTATGGATCCTCTAAATTGTTGTACTCAGGTGACCGATAAGGCCCTTGGGCCTCTTGTTAGTTCAAGTGATCTAGATTGGGTCCAACTTTGACCTGTTTACTTTTAATTGACAGGAAGCTGTACCTAAAACAAGCAGTGGAGCACAGATCAACAGCTTTTTAAAACTTGTATTTGTTAGTTATTAATGACAGCTTTACATCTATTTTTTTAAATTATATACTGCTATTGCTTTACTATGTATATAGATGTGGCATCTTAATCAAACTTGCAGTTTTGTTGTTGTTGTTGTTTTTATTGTTTACAGTTATTTCTTATTGTCGTGACTATCAAAACGTCTATATCAAGCTTGCCCTCATGTTGATTTTTCTTTATTTTTTATATTATTTTTCTCAGTAGTACTAGTGGTAGCTAAACCGAGTTTACACTTATGTTGTTAAAGTGTCTGTTTATAATTGTTTGTTATTGTTACAATATTTACAAAACTTGCTTTTATTATTTTCCATTTCTTGTTTTAATTTTTGTTGAAATTTTTTTTACTATTTGTTGAAATTGTGCTTATTATTGTTTACAATAATTGTTTTCTTTTTATCAGTGTTATTAGTTGCAACTTAACCAAACTTGCATCTCTGTACCTATTTTGTACTTTAATATAGGTCTTTGTTGTGGTTTTGAGTATTATAAGTGGCAGCTAAACAAAACGCACACTTAATAAACTTGTAATTGTGGTGTTTTTATTTTAACTTATCTGTTGTTGTTATGGATATTCTATCGTATGTCGAATCTAGACCAAACTTGCACTATTATTATTTATTTTTTGCATGTGGGTATTTGTTGTTCTTATGAGTATTATTAGTTACAACAAAAATTGCACTTACGAATATGTTGTTTTTTACTGTATATACGTATACGATATTGTTACCTGTATTAATAGTTGCACGAAACCAAAACTTACATTTACCAAACTTGTATTTATGTTGTTTGTACTGTATAGAAGAAGGGTTTGTTCATCAAACTTGCATTTGTATTGTTTTTGTTTACTGTATTTAGTTCTTGTTATTGAGAGCAGTGTTTATACATGTTGGAGTCAAATGATAAACAAACTTGGCATTGCACTTATGTTTTTATTTTTACTCTTTTAAGTTATTTGCTATTGTTATAGGTATTTATTGTTAAGTTGTATCTAATTCAAATTTACTTGCATTACCAAACTTGCATTTACACATGTAAATTGCTTATTTACTTTACAAAGTTATTCGTCACTGTTATGACTATTATAGTGGCAATTAAAACCAAACTTGGAATTACCAAACTTGTAATTATTTGTAATTATTATGACTATCATAAGTGGCAGCCAATCCAAGCTAGCATTAATTAACAAACTTGCTCTTCTATCGTTAATTTGTTTATTACTGAGTATATTAATTTTTTCTTGTTTTAAGAATATATATGTGGCATCCAAAGGTGGTAACTTATTACCAAACGTGCATAACCATACTTGCACTTTTATTTACAATATATATTTGCTTATTATTGTTTTAAGTATTATTAGTAGGAGCTCACTCAAACTTGCATTAAGCAACCTTTCCTGTATGTATTGTTTATATATATTTCATAGTTATTTGTTATTGTTCTGATAATTTGTTCATGTGGAACGTAAACCAAACTTGCATTTACTGAACTTGCACTTTATATATTTTATTTACGTTATATAGTTATTTGGTATTGTTATACGTATAATTAGTTGCACTTGAACCAGACTTCGACTTACAAAACTTGCAGTTATGTTGTTTTTGCTAACATTTTGAAATTGATATTAATATTTATACATATGGTGTCTACGCTGAACCTGCAATTTTCAAAACTTGCATGACACATATATTTTTATACTATACTAAGGTATTTTGCTATTGGTATTTATACTATGGTATCTAATCCAAACTTGCATTACCAAATTTGGACATATTGTGTATTAACTGTATATATTAATTATTTTTTGTCATAAAAGACTTGCGGCATTTAAAAACTTCCGCTTATATAGTTTATCTATTGTCTAAAGTTAGTGCTATGGCTATTATAAGAGGAAGCTAAACCAAACTTGCTTTTACCAAACTTGCTCTTAACTTGCTTATTTGCTGTGTATATATAGTTACTTATTATAGAATTTACACATGTGGCATCTTAAACAAACTTACATTTTCCAAACTTGCATTTACCAAACTTGCACCTATGTATTGTTTGTTTACAGTATATAGTTATTTGCTATAGTTATGAGACTTTATATGTATGGCATTTTAAACAATCTTGCAGTTACCAAACATACAGCTTTGTATTTATTTACTGTATATGGTTATTTTTTAAAGATATGAGACTTAATACATTTGATATTTTAAACAAACTTGCACCTTTGTATTGTTTATTTAGAATATACAGTTATTTGCTATCTTTCAGTTAAAACTGAAAAGCGGCATTCACTTTCTTTTCAGTTGCCAGTCAGTGACTGAAGGGCAGAAACATTTCACTGACCTTTTAGTCACCTTTCAGCCAAACTTCAGGCACATTTCAGCCATCATTCATCAGTTGCCTTAAAACATCTTAAACTTTACCAAACATGCAGCTAAATATTGTTTACTTACTGTAGATAGTTATTTGTTTTAGTTATGGTACTTAATACATGTGGTTTTCAAAACAAACTTACATTTACTAAACTTGCACCTTTGTGTTATTTACCGTACTAAGTTACTTGTTTTAGCTATGAGACTTAATACTTGTGACATCTTAAACAAACTTGCATTTACCAAACTGACACCTATTTAGTGTTTGTTTACAGTATATAGTTTTTTTATAGTAACGAGACTTTATTTATGTGGCATTTTAAACAAACTTGCATTTATCAAACTTGCAGCTTTGTATTGTTTATTTACTTTATATAGTTATTTGTTGAAGATATAAGACTTTATACGTGTGACATTTTAAACTTGCAGCTTTGTATTGTTTATTTACTGTATTGTTTATTTACCTTACATAATTATTTTTATAGTTAGGAGAATTGTTCATATGGAATCTGAAACAAACTTGCATATGCCAAACTTGCACCTATGTATTGTTTATTTATTGTATATAGTATTTTTTTTTATATAAATATGAAACTTTATATATTTGACATCTGAAACAAAGTTTCATTTACCAAACTTGCACCTAGTATAATCATTTATTTACTGTATATAGTTATCTATCATTGTTATGAGACTTTTTCCATGTGGAATCTTAAACTTGAATTTACCAAACTTGCACTTATTTATTGTTTGTTTACAGTGTATAGTTATTTTTTTTTTTTATAGTAACGAGACTTTATTTATGTGGCATTTTAAACAAACTTGCATTTATCAAACTTGCAGCTTTGTATTGTTTATTTACTTTATATGGTTATTTGTTGAAGATATAAGACTTTATACGTGTGACATTTTAAACAAACTTACACCTTTGTATTGTTTATTTACAGTATCTTATTATTTTTATCATAGGAAGAAATAAGACCTTTCAGTTAAAACTGAAAAGCGGCATTCACTGTCTTTTCAGTTGCCATTCAGTGACTGAAGGGCAGAAACATTTCACTGACCTTTTAGTCACCTCTCAGCCAAACTTCATGCACATTTCATTCAACATTTATCAGTTGCCTTAAAACATCTTAAAGAAACTTGCATTTACCAAACATGCAGCTAAATATTGTTTACTTACTGTGGATAGTTATTTGTTTTAGTTATGGTACTTAATACATGTGACATCTTAAACAAACTTGCATTTACCAAACTGACACCTATTTATTGTTTGTTTACAGTACATTATTTTTTGTTATAGCTATGAGTCTTTATACTTGTGGAATCTGAAACAAACTTGCATTTACCAAACTTGCATCCATGTAGAATTTATTTATTGTATATAGTTATTTATCATTGTTATGAGGCATTATCCATGTAACATCTTTAACAAACTTGCATTTACCAAATTTATGCATAGGTAATGTTTATAAGCAGTATATAGCTATTTGTAATTATTAGACTTATGCATGTAACATCCTAAATTAACATGCATTTACCAAACTTGCACCCTTGTATTGTTAATGTATTGTATATAGTTACTTGCTATCGTTATAACACTTTACATATGTGACATCTTAAACTTGCATTTGCCAAACTTGCGTCTATGTTGTTTTTATTTACAGTATATAGTTATTTGTGATTATTAAACTTTGTACATGTAACATCAGAAATTAACTTGCATTTACCAAAGTTGCACTTTCGTATTGTTTATGTATTGTATATAGGTATTTGATATCGTTATGAAACTTTATATATGTGGTATCTTTATGATAATTGATATATGAAGCATTTAAGCCAAACTTGCACGTATATAGCTTATTTACCTAATATAGTCAAGTTATTTGGTATTGATATGAGTATTATAAGTTACAGATAAAAGAAAGAATAATAATAAAGTCTATGATTATTGGTGTAATGTTGAGCATTTATACAAATGACCTCTAATCCAAACTTGTATGTACCAAGCTTGCGCTTTTATTGTTTATTTACTGTCCATAGAAATTTGATGTAGTGTTGCGTATTTTTACAAATGACATCTAAACAAAACTTAAATTTACCAAACTTGCACTCATTGTTTATTTACTGTCTATAGAAATTAAGTATTGTGTTAAGTATTTATACAAATAACATCTAATCCAAACTTGCATGTACCAAACTTGCCCTTTTATTGTTTATTTATTTTCTATATGGTTATATGTATTTGACATTGTGTTGAGTATTTATACAAATGACAAATATACATATAGTACAAGCTTGCACTTATTATAGCAATAAACTGCATATATAGTATTGCGTAATTGTTACAGTGTATGAGTATAATTATTTGCAGAAAAAGGCAAAATTGCACTTACCAAACTTTCACTTATGCCGTTTCTGTGTACTGCATATAGGCAATGAACCCACACTTTTAATTTTCCAAATAGATTTAAATTTAGTTTTGTTGCATTAAGGAAGCTCTAAACACTAATGAAGAATGCTTTTTGGACTTTGAGAAAATTGTTTCATATAATACTGAGTTTATCTAGTTCATTTTCAACATAGAGTACCTGTCATATTTCTCCGGGAAAAATCTCCAAAGACAAAAAAAGTATTAGTGAATAGAAATCACTGTTGTTTATTCACATTAGAGGAATACTTGAGAATAATGTTTTCAATTACTTTATCCTACTATAATATAATGTTAAAAAAATCAATCTATTTCAAATTCAGTCATTTACTCTTATTTCCGCTCTTTTCCATTTTACATCAAAGGGCAGATCACTCTAACTGCATAAAACTCTTCAGTGAGCAGTGTTTCCTCAAGTTATGAGTATGTTGAAATGTGGCATATAATTGTAATGTTACTTGTTGAAGCTTAACCAAACTTGCACTTTCAAAGTTATTTGGTATTAATTTATTAAAATGCATTTACCAAACTTGCATGCATGTTGTTTTTACTTACTGTATTTAGTTCTTTGTTTTTGTTATAGGTATACTTATTCATGTGGTAGCTAAACCAAACCTGCACAATGTTTTACAAACTTTCACTTATTGCTTGCTTTTTTCAATGTATTAAGTTATTTGTCTTAACCAAACTTGCATCATGTTTTCCAAACTTTCACTCACGTTGGCTTTTTTTTCATTGTATTAAGATATTTGTCTCTGTTACGAGTCCCATTATATCTGGCAACTAAAGCAAACTTGCATCATGTTTTTCCTTGAATGTAGTTTTATTTTTGTTATAATTATTAGTATTATTAATTGAGGCAAAACTTCAAAAAACACATTTGTTTTTTAAAGAACATTTTGTTATTTATTCTAGAAGTGATCCCAACTTGCGTCTTTTTGACAGTTATTTGATATTGTGTAGGGTATTTCTGCATGTGGCATGTATATGAAAAGGTGAGGATAACAAACAGTAATCGATCTCAAAAACCAAATTTGCAATTAGAAATTAAAAGTTACAACTATGTTTTTTCATTTATTGTGTAAAGTTTTTCTCGTTAATGTTACGCAACTGTACGTGTAACATCTAACTCAAAGTTACACTTACCAGACATGTACCTATATATATATATATATATATATATATATATATATATATATATATATATATATATATATATATATATTACAGAATATAGTTATTTGGGATTGTTATAAGTACTTGTGAATGTATTTATGCATAGGTGACTATACTGAACTTGTACTTTTTTAAAACTGTTTAGAAGTGTTTTGTATGGTATTCCGGTCTTATATTATGTTTTAAAACAATGATATTTAATGTTTATGCTTTACTAACTTGCATATTTCTTGTTATTTATTTTTTGGTTTTGACCATTTATTATCTAGCAAATGCTTTTTGAGTAAATAAGATTCTTCACATTTCATATGTTAAAGTAAGGTTTGTGAGAATGAGGATCCGCCATTCCTGACGTTTACCTTGCATTTGCCCTGACAAACAGGTTCAATAGCTATAGCAAAGATATAAGTAACAGTTTTGCCTTACTAAGCAATTAATATCTATAAATGTTTCCGTCCACTTTTGAAGATGACTGGCCCGTAGGAAGCAATTTAGTGGGGGGGGGGGGGCACAACCATACATTTTTCATTTGGGGAGGGGGGGGGGCACTATCAACAACCAAAATTCCTTGTCAAGCAAAAAAAAAAAAAAAAGGTCGTCAGACGTTATTATGAGAGCGAACAAGCATATAGTAGCTATGTTTTCTATACTATTCTAAATACCGGCAAAATTATTGGGGGGAGGGGGCACGCCCCTCCCCCCGTTCCTACCGCCATGATTGTGGGTTGGGTGGGGGTGTCGTAATATTTCATTACCTTGAATTTTACGACTTTATACAAAACATCATGATTGTTTTATCTTAACTTCTTCGCATCTCATCAGAAGGATGGAAATTATTGAAAAGTGAACATTTAGGTAAAGATATTTATTTATCTCAAATATCAGGAATACCAGTGGAATGAAAATGCATATGGATAACATTTGAAAGAATTTAATATTGCATGATATTGAAGATTCTTTAAATGGTTTCAAATTAAAATGATGTAAGTAAAGAAAACAAAATATTGACTGATTTGTGCTTGGAAACTGTGTAAAGATTACATGAATTAATTTCAAAAGCATAGGAGATCAGAAATGCCGAAAGACAGCTGAAAATATGATGGCTACTCATAAAACCAATTGAAATAATTTAAAATGAATTTCTGTATGGAGACTAAATTGTAGCGTGGACTTTAATGCATAATTATTTAACGGATAATATTAATCTCAGGACTTTTTTTCATAAACTTAATATAACAGTCCTATGGCAACGTTTTTCAAGGAAGGGGGTGCCCCCCCCCCAATTGATAAACCAAAGAAATAAACTGCCTAACTCGAAAATCCTCTGTCATGGTGTAGGGGGACCATTCTGTAACTCTTACTTTTCGGCACATTTTTTAAATGCTGAAATTTGCCTGTGTTCAACCGTACAGCAACTAAAAGTGTGGGGGGGAGGGGGGCAAACAGCTTCAAAGTGACAATTTACAGAGTAAAAATATATCAAAAAGTCTATTCTCAGAAGAAGAAAAAAAAGGCAGTCCTCCTCCCCTCCGCTGCGTACTACGGGCCTGTATAAAAAGTAGGGACATATATGGACGTGCATGATGAAATTTCCACAATGTTAGATGCATGCAGGTCAAAATGTATCAATCCAGTTAACCAAATATTGACAAAAGATTATCATTATAAAGTAAAGCTGCAGACAATTTCCCTTGTTGATGTGGAGTATGTCGAAAAAAAAAATATCGTAAATATATGTCTGAAGACCAAAGATTGATCAATTGATTTTATATTGTTTAACGTCCTATTGGAGAATTTTTCACTCAGACGTTTAGTTTTGTTATGATGTCAATGAATAAAGATAAAATTTGAAGTTAAAAAATCTGAACGTTAAGAATGATGCTAAAAGAACAAACTTTAATTATTTCCATGGAAGTTATCATGACGCCCGCGTGGCGCAGTGGTTAGAGCGTCTGCTATAGAGTCGTGGAGTAAGGAGTTGATCCTTACGTAGCGGGTTCGAATTTACTGTGGGACGTAGAGACCGGTCCTTTGGATGAGACCGTATTAACCGAGGTCCCGTGTCGCAGTAGGTGTTATCACGAAAAAGATCCCTCACTGCTCAATGACCCTAATTGCCGAGTACAGGTATAAATTTGCAGCCCTCCACCGTCTCCATATGAGTGAAAAATTCTCGTGAGGGACGTTAAACAACAAACAAACAAAACAATGGAAGTTGTCACACCCATTCAATATAACGATCCAAGAAAAAAGCCCGAAGATAATTGTGTCACCCCAATAAACTAATCCAATAGTTTAGAAACGCAGAAAAACTGTTACACGGATATGTCCGTATAGGGAATCGCAATGAATAAGCAGGTGCATGGAAAAAAAACTGAAGGAAATCAATATTTTGCTCCAGTAGTACTTCTTCTGCAAGCTGTTTTTGTTAAAATGCAGGTAACAAATTCCGATGTATATCAGCTTGCACAAAGTCTAGCTCACTAACTATGATCTTGATCTTAGTTTCGGACCATGGAACAAATTGATCCTTACACTTCCTGACGCTCGGAGCGTCAGTCAATGATTTTTTCTATCTAGGTTATTTTTCTGGGCGGGGGGGGGGGGGGGGGCATAGAAATAGGTAATAATTTTGTGAATTTATTAAACATTTAATTATAGGTGTTGCTGTGTTTTCATGTAGTTGATATAAGATTTTCCAGCGATATAAAAGCCTACTTTTGAATCTTTATTATTTAGGTGGAAATTCGGATTGGTGACAAATATGGACACTGTTTATTTGAGTTTTACTGATGTCATGTTTTATTGTATTTCATAAGTTGTGTATAAGAAACGACAGGACAGCTCAGCTTATTTGAGCTACGGCCACTGCTTTATCTATAGGGGATATAGTTTGTTTCAACTGAATAGAATTTGCGTATAAAAACCAAACTTGCACATATTTTTTCATATATGAAGCTATGATTAATGCCTATAAACTACATTTTATTCTTAAGTGACTATCATTAAACATAGTTTCTTTTACCAGAAGTAGATTTGGACTTTTAAAAACCACTTTTTTGGAATGTTTGGCTTGGTGCTGATATAAATATCGTTATTTAGAAACAGATTTTGAACGGCTTCTTTAATAAGTTCTGTGTACACCAAAACCCCATAAATGGAAGCTTGATCAGTAAGTGCTTTGTAGTTTGTATGCGGCGTCTGCCGAACATTTTGATCCGTTTACCGTCTGAGCATCTCACGATTTCTACCTTGCTTTGGATTGGGTCTAATTTTGTAATTTTGTCAATTATCCGAATTTTAAGATTATTTAGGCATAAATAATGATCACATGTGAAATTTCAATCTTTAGTCAAGACGCTTTCCAATTTTCATGGATTTCACTCAGTCCAGTACGTTGAAAATAGGTCGTTTTGTGGTCAAGATATCTTATTTTAGAGGAAATCTGCATTAATTTTCCAAACGCCATTAAAATCAAACAATTAGAAAGTAAAATACTGAAGCGATTTAAAGATACTTTAAAATATTATGTAATTTTTTTATGTATGCAAAACTTTGGGCAGGCTGTATTAATTCAAAGCAAACTGAAATGTGTTTGTGTGTGTGGGGGTGGGGGGTGGGGGGTCTTTTTCAACCTTGTAACTATGGTAAATGACACAATTGAGAGTTTTAACTGTAGGTTTTACAGATACATTTGTATGTTTACAAAAAATACAAACCAAACATGTTCAAATACATACTCTTTCTTGAAAGCAGCAGTTCGAATATGCAGCGTACTTTTTGAATTTGGAAAATGATGATTTGCAATTTCAAATGATTCGTTATTTCAAAGCAATAATTTGTAATTTTGAATTTATAATTTGTTATATTCTCCCTCACTATAAACAATTATATTCTAAGTATGAGAGTAATGAAAAGAACTCATATGTTAGGAATGGTACTCGCTATTATAACCTTTTATTTTGCATTGCCTTATATAATTATAATATTGATTCAGTCTATTATAAATAATTGTTTCATTAATCAATACATTCAGAAGCGTAAACATACATAAAATATCAAATACATAATGTTTATTTCATTTTTAAATATACGTGTATACCCGTAGGTTATAGCGAGACTCGATAATCGAACATGAATGAGTGAGGATATATTTAGTATGTGAAACGTGATAAGTATGGAATGCAACGAATTTAATTTTATGTAATTTGTAATTTCAAATCGATTATTTTTGCAATTTAAGACAATTATTTGTTATCTAAAATCAATAAGATAGATGGACGTATTTAGCGTATAATTGCAGGAATCATTTTGTGCAAACCATTCATACTAGCCAAGTCAATGTTTTGTTCTAGTCGAGTAATTTGATGAACCGTTTGTCCAATCCTACTTTCGATTTTGCTATTCCGAATTATCTCTCTGATTTCAGGTAAGTTGTGCCACTGCACTGTATGCCATGTTAGGTATATATTTTTTTTCGTAATAATTTGCAACATGGACTTGAAAGTACAATAAAGGCAACTCTTTTAATGACGCTGTTATTTTATATTTAGTTTTATTACTCTTAAAAACAGCTGATGAATTGTTCTTTGAACGTGCTTGCAACTGTGTAAATGACGGAGTACTAGTATTGAAGACAAGTCCTTCGCTTTATCAGGTGCACGTTTTATCGGCGAACACTGACAGTGTTAATTTATCGCTTAGATTTTAAAATTAATGATTAGGGAATGGAAATTTTATTAAGAGCATAATTTTTTATACTAAAAAAAAATCTCCAAAAGGAGTAAATGGGGGTTTTGACAATCTCTAATTCCTGCTTTCATTGATTTAATACATTTACTTTATATGCAAACCTTATTGACCCCACGAATTTTCTATTTAAATTCCGTTCGACAGAGTATTTATAATTCGTTTAATTCCAAGCCTAAATTATTCTAACCTTTTTAACTCATTCTAATAGTCGAATATACACCCGATAGATGAGACATTATATAATTTTTCAAAAGTTATTACTTCAGTAGATGGATTGCCTAGTTCAGCAGTTAGAGTAAACTAAATCTAGCAATCTTGCATGTAAGTAATTTAGCTCGCTTATTAGACATTGTGTACCACCATACCCCACGTCACCAGTGTGCAATTGCTTTTGCAGGTGAAAATTGAGGACAAGAGATGCATCATGCTTTTTCGGAGATTAAAAGTGCCACAATCCGCTTGTTTTTGTCGACTACAGCATTCATTTGTCAACAAAGAAACCCCAAAAGTTGTTAAAAATCGTCTCAGTAAACGTCTTGTTTTACGGACCGTTCAGCCATCTGAAAGGAAATCACGTGATCTTGTTCTGCTCTTTGAATGGTTATATCCTAACTCCAAAGCTGTTGACAAGTACTGCATGTTATACCATGAACTAGGGTTAAATGTCTTGACCATACATGGACAATTGCAACATTTTCTGTGGCCGTCACAGTCGGCCAAATTATCCCAGGAACTCTTAACTTTCCTTAAACACAAAAGGAATCCCGAGGAAGATAAATATATTGTCCATGCTTTCTCTGTTGGTGCTTACAATTTTACCACGTGTTCAATGCAAGCTACAAGTCAACGAAAAGATTTTGGATTTTTCCGGGATAACATTCGTGCTCAGATTTTTGACAGCATAGTAGCCGGAAGTTATGACCATATGTCTACCGGAATAGGTGAAGCATTCTCTCTCCCTCGTCCTTTAAGAAAACCATTACAGATTACTATGGACTCTTTCTATAAACTAACAAAGAAACACACAACAAACATTTACGATGATATGGTTAATCACTTTTGGCAATGTCCAGTGAAAGTTCCAACTTTGTTGATATACTCGGAAAATGACCCAATGTGTGATCCTTCCTACATGGAAAATAGGATGACAAAATGGCAGAAAGACTTTCCTGACTTTGACGTGACGTCAGTTTCGTGGAAGAAATCGGTGCATGCTGCTCACATTAAGATACACCCAGAGGATTATATGAGACATTGGAGGATTCTAATGAGTAAAGTAGGTCATGGGCTTTCGGAGGAAACGAAAACCTCATAATGTGCATGATCAACAGAATTGACTCAGGATATTTTCATTGATAGGAAATTATATTATTCATTAATTTGTTAAAGTTTACATACAGACTACTGCATCGAATACTTGAGAGTAATGTTCATATTGAATGTTTATTGATGTTAAATGTTTATTATATGTATTCAAACATTACATTTGTTCCATTTTTATAAATTTCATTGTTGGCAGAGTGTTATTAACAGTGAACAGTATGATATGAGAAGTAACTTTGATTTTATTCAAAAGACAAAGTTCTTTGTGAAATACTGCAATCCAAATGTTACAAGTTAATTAGTTTAAAAAAATATATCTACTTGTTTAGCATACATTGGAATATCGTCATTAAAAACTATTCATCTCATATCCAGAATCCAATCCTTTTACTAGTATTTTACGAAACAAAACACGCTAAATAATTATAATAGGTCCATCAACTTCATATAAGATCACAAGTTGTCAACGTTTGTTGCAAATTTTTTGTTTTAAATCATCAGACAAATGTGGGTTCAAAGCGTAACTACATCGTAAACTCAGTGGTTTATCGACAAAATATGTCACCTAGTCATATTAAACTGATTAACGGAATATTTTGCTAGGCATCGTTATATTCTACAAATATATTTAATATTTTTATTCTAACCATTCATTTTGATCAAATTGACAACTATACTGATATATATATATATATATATATATATATATATATATATATATATATATATATATATATATATATATATATATATATATATATATGTATGTATGTATGTATTCTGAAAACTTTTATTATTAAACAACTAGATTGTGACATATTACAAAGTATTTATAATGGTTTTTACATGTCAACAATAATAGTAAAATAATTATAATGAAAGTTGTGATGAAAATGAATTATGTGCCTTACAGCTAAACTTTGACCAAAATTATGCTGTCGACAAACACAGAAGCATTATACAAACTGAAGGTTTGACATTCAAGTATGTTTTGCGGCATAAAAATGTGAACACTTGTAATAATCATTAACTCCATTCTCGACACTGAAAATAAAAAATTTCACGTTTAAAACACACCTCAAATTGTCGTCACATTAAAAATTGTATGCAAATGACTGAGTTTTATTAATTAAAAATTTTAAAGCTTTTATTAAATAGCTTGAAACTAGAACTGTTTTTCTTGCTTCCGGGTTTATCGTCCTTCCGGTCCGCAGGAGACCTGGGAGATTTAGGACGGCCTCCTCTTTGGGCACACTGAAATTTTTCCTCTGTAATGAAGAGAGGTTGGAAGTGAATGTGCTTCTCGCCTCGTTCTCGCTGAATCTCGTGTACGAGACCATGGAATATGTCCTCTACATACTCGAATTCCTCTGCTGCTGTTGTCTCAAAGAACAAACATTCATACTCTGCAGCTAAACTAGCACCCTCTTCTTTACTAATTTGTCTGAAAGATTCATTGAATAATATTTGGAAAACAGCTGATAAATGTATGACGATGAAGAAATTGTTTTGCTATTACGCCACTTCCCGAGTACTTTTTCCTTCTACATGAAATAGTATTAATCATCTTATTTTAGGTTTAAAAAGAATCTTCAAAAATTAAGTTTCTTCGTAAAAGAATGAAGGACTCACAAATGAATAACTACGATTTTTTTTCTACCTGTATCTCTCTAAATCGATCTTATTTCCAACAATGGCAACTGGAAGTTCTTTGCTAGCTGTCTTAAGGAATTGTGTGATCGTTTCTAAGTATTTCCGAACTGTCTGGAAACTTTCTCGGTTTGTGATACTATACACTACCATGAAAGCGTCGGCCCAACGTAGATATCTTTGGGGATCGCTGTCCTCCTATATGAAAACATGAGATATGCAATCAAATTCTAAATATTATGGGAATATATTAGGCAAGTCTGTTTTTAATATACATGTATATTCTTTTGGCAAGTGTGCAATGTCATAGTACTAAGAAAAAAAAGACAAATTTATATATTAAGCAGTAACGGCATACGTTTTATCAGAATAAATGAACTTGAACAGATTTTGATTATGTACGTTATTTTGCATACCTTATCGCACGTGTCCATCACGTGTATTGACAGTTCCTGTCCCTCTATGTCTTCTTGTTTTGTGTATGTGTCCTCTGTTATTTCAGTATAAATAAATAAACAATATGGAGAAAGCAAATGAAAATTCATTTTAGCAATGTAGTCAGAGAGAAAAAAAACCCGCAGTACTTTTCTAGTAATCCACTAAGAGAGAAAAAGCCAGTAATTTTTCATAATATCTACATGAAGATGTATTTAAGGAACAGATGGGAAAAATATATAGAAATTTTCGTTTTATTAACAAATCCAGATAATTAAATTCTAAATTGAACAGAATTAGAAAAAAAAATAACTTACCTATACACGGATCATACTCCATGATAAATCTTCTTGTCATATATTTAACCGTCAGGGCTACAATTGCAAATTTATCAAGTGAATTGTTTATACATGATATTGGCTAATACATGTGTATATTACTTATTAATAGAGTACATTTTGTAAAAAAAAAAAAAAAAAAAAAAAAAATATAGAACCATGAGATACCCTGTACTGTAAGCCGAGACCAAAAGCTGAGGTTCATTTCGTGAGAAAGAATCAACATGTGCACTAGATGCAGCTGCATACCAAAAAAATCCAAAAAAATACTGGTAATATCAGATTTTAAAAACTTTAACAACGGGATACATTATTCAAGGTTAATGCTACAGAAGTCTCGCAGATAAAAGTTTTTTTTGCAAAATTTAGATGCACACAATGTATAGATCGAGATGAATATGTACCGATAACTCTTGACATTTATTAACCAGGTTGTTCTTCCTGTCAAAAGAATCTAATCATCTGATGTTGTGTAAATGGGGAAAATAAAAACACATCATCCAAAAATAAGCAATCTGTTTGAAAGCAGTGTCTTAGTTCAAATGATCGTATCATAATAAAATTACGAAGAACAACGTCAATGTAAAAACCAAGTTTGTACGTGTTTTACCAAATTAAACGACAGTTGTTGTAGAATAAATTCAAGAAGAGAAGTTCCTCTAGTCATTTTTTTAACAAGTTGTAAAGTGGTAAAACATCTCAAGAAAGATAAAAATACAGCCTAAAAATGTTGGAATTTATTTCAACAAAAGTTGTACTTCTATATATGTTAATCAATTTATTTTGTATTAATTGTTAATAACAGTATTAAGAATGGTAGTGAAAAAAAATTTCGAATTCTGTAATGGATTTAAGAGATTGATCCCTATTCCTTATCTTCAATATTTACAATTAACCTACTAACAAGTTGTCATAATTATAAAAAAAAAAAAACCTTAATGTACTTACTTACTATACTGTAGATCTATTTTCATTTTATGCAAGGATTTATAATATCATGAAATGGTGGAACTGCGTATAACATTCTGAATCAGTTTGCAATCAATTTTAAGCAAGGAAGTCAGTCATTACTAGTATAAAAATTGTAACACTTCGAGGTTTTTTTTTTAAATTTTATTTTTCTTTCATGTTGAAGTACATGTACTCTGCGGCTGTGTCCTTTTATATACGTAAAGCAGAAATCTGTTATACTTGCTTAATAGGTCCCGGAAGATGAGCATATAGAAATTTGTTTATGCATTACCGAAGGTTTTTTTTTTTAAATGTTGGGATGACCATAAAAACCTCATGACTGTTTAGAAAGTGAGCAACAATTTATATTTTTGAAACGCGTTTCTCCTCTAATGTTGTCTACATGTTATTAAAAGATTCGTATAGATGCCTAGATGTTGATTATAAGTTGAAATAGAAAATCTTACACGTCTTGATTTTGTCTAATTGAAAAAATTCCTATTTGATTTTTTACGCATTCTACTATCAACCAAACAGATGTAGAAAAATTAGTTTGATATTAATTATCTAAACCTTTATCTTAATTTTCATGCATTCCACAGGAATATGATGAAGTAAATTGCAATGAAATATTACTAAATTAGCTTTCCGTGGTTTTGCTGTTCTTCAAAAAATCGATTCGCTGACAAATATTACAAAAAATTACAATTCCGCATGGATTGATAAATGATAAACCAAGGGTGGTTTTTCTTGAGTGAAACTAAGCAGAGAATTAAATTATGTGATGTCTGTAACATTCACTGAATATCTAAACATCTACACTATACATAATATATTTTAATATATATGAGGAGGTTCAATGGAAGCCATTTATATTCGTTTAAATCAATTCTAATATTTGTTATAACGAGTTAAATTCGTTTCAACAAATTCTAAATTTGTTATACTAGAATTCAAAATGAATTTGATAGTTCCTAAATGGGCTTCTATAGAGGTGTGATTAGATTTTTTTTAATATTTATTGCGTACTCCATATCAAAGAGTATTCTGAAAGAAGTAGTATTACACTAAATTATTAAAACATTGTATACAAAGTACATGTATATAAGTACGTGAAGCATAACCAAAAACATACACCATACACTTTATAGTCATCGTTCTGAAAGGGGAGGCATAATTTATACGATTTGAATTTTGTTTTTTTAAAAAAAAAAAAAAAGAAACAGAAATTTCATATAACCTTTATTTATGTTCTCGATGCAACTACAATGTCGACAATTATATATATAAACATATTTATCTTAACTTTTACTGGGTGCTCTCGAGATAAACTTGAGATTTTCTGAATTTAAAAGAAGTTCATCTCAATCATCGTTGGGAAACTTTTAAAACTTTAAAGAAATCTATCCAAAATTACATCAACGATGCAGATTATTTCAAATTCTTTCCATCTTTTTAAAAACTGACTTTCTAGGAACATTAATTGGCAAAGAGATGTATCTATAATATGTTAATATATATGCATTCCAGAGAAATATGATAGTAAAAACTTATCACACGATACACAGTATATCAGTGAAATTCATCTCTGTGTTTATACCTTTTTTTTTTTTTTTTTTTTTTTTCAAAAATCCATTCAATGCAACATATTAAACACAAAACTATTCACTTTGATTCATAAATGATGAGCAAGAAGCGAATTTCAGTAACCGAATATTTTATATATTTTTTACAAGTTCTGATTTATAGTAGATAAAAAGAGCATTATAGATTTTTTTTTTATTACTTTTTAGTTTACATTGGAAACTCTTGGTATGTACGAGGATACACTCAAAAGACAACATCCGATAAATATTTACGGTAAATTCGAAACTGTTCTTCTAACATGTATAAGACATTTTTAGATTACCGTAATTATGTGAAACATTAACTAGAAAACATCTTTCAATAGAAACGGTCTCCAGAGGAACAAAGAAGTTTTTTTTTTGTTTTTTTTTTTTTGCCTTAGAGTAATGATTTCTTTCTCTTCAAAACGACATCAGGTCTGTACAGAATAGCTAAAGAGTGCGTAAAATACAAAGATCAAAGTTTTTGTAAACTTTACATGATCGTATACAAGTACATTTACAAATATAGTTCTAAACTCTGCTTTTTGTTATTATTTAAAAATTATTACTACTTCAAACGTTTTTCCAAAAAAAAAAAAAAAATGAATAACCACCGATAAATTGTAATAAAATAATCTTGTTGCAACTTTAAAAGGATTGTCTTGTATAATTGTAACATTACAACATAACTTTATGATAAACTTGATGATCAACTTCTCTAGCGTCAACTTCCCTTATTTATGTAGCAATATACCATAATCATCTTCATATGGAGTGTATGTCTCCCAGTTCATTCAATACGCAAGAACATGCTCTACGTACGAACAATTTCTAAAACGAGGTAAGCTATTGACAAATAAGGTGATGCAACAAGAATGTCAACAGTCTCGTTTAAAGTCAGCATGCTCTGCTCCAAATTTTTATTGTGTCAGTGGATTCTTGAGATTGGTTACTGTTCATTATCTTCTGTCACATTAAAGGGAATTTTTAATATTACTTTTTTAATTTATTTTTTCCTTAGATACAAAAAATAAAACACATAGAATTGCAAAAAAAAAAAAAAAAAGAAAAATTACGTGAAGCTTTATCTACATTAATTGCAAGAAGACATTTTACTAAAGGCACAATATGTTCATATGTATGTTGTTTTTGTTTGTTTGTTTGTTTGTTTTTTTGTTTGTTGTACATTCTGCAGGTTTGTTTAACGTTTTTAAACAGTGTTTTCTTGCTTATAAGTCAGTCTTTTTAATCAATATCGATAAAACTTCATGTATTTCCATTGCTGCAATTCAGTGAAAAGAGTTCTTTTAAGATAAAGAGGTAAAGCGATTTTCTCTGATTTTTTAAAGTTAATCTCCTAATATTTAAAAGTATATTACATGCACACTGTACTCTATATCATGCAATATTACATAATTATATATAATACATATCTACAATATTATATAAACAATACTGTGCTGTATTGTGATTGAATAGAATGAATACACGAGAAGCGGTACTCATTCGTTGGCTAAAACTTGCCAATAGTTGTTTTGCGCAAGATTATCTTCCACAGTTCTTTGTTCAAGTAGCATATTTCCTCTTATATTAAATCACAATCAAGTATCTACAATGTTATACATTATTTTGTGCCAAGGTTAAGCACTTACTTTATCTCTTTTTTAGGATCATAAACTAAACTACCTCAGAAATTACAATCAGTTTAAACAGAATTTATTTGTCAGTTATTTGATAACATCCGCAATTTCACTTTTAATTCAACTTTTATCAAATAAACTAAGCTAAAATTAATTTGATATACTGTTATACCTGAACGATATAGACATAAATTATTATTTTTAACAGCATAACCATCTCGCACCTTGATTTCTTCTGTTTTTGATATCTCCCACCAGTAGAAGCCCTGGTACAAGACGTTCTCCATCATTAACGCAATTAAGAGATGCAATATAACTAGGAAGAGAGATTTGTTATCAAGCCTTTCAGAGTTATTCAATCTGGTTGGGGATAACGCTCAGGGAATGTTGTATATTAATACCTCAGATCACAGGGATGTATCAACGGAATTATTACTTTAGGTTCATCAAACTCGCCCAGAATTATCTTTGAAGACCACAAAACAGACAATGATGGTGTAAGCAGGAAAAAGATTACATAAGCCATACGCTCACTGAAATACACATTTCAAGGAATACACCCCTTTTAATTGTTTGTTAAAAGAAGTAATTCATAAGATAAAGGTTTAATGTAAGACATGTTTCATATCCCTCATCTGCTGTTGTCTTACATCCTTCGGACGGCTTCAACTTTTTAAAATAGTTCTTTAGTTATGAGCAGATGGAATCTGATATTATCCTCCTTAAATCAGTTAGAGGCTTACTGTAAACTCCCTGAAAGAAATTCAGCCTGTGCTATAAACTGAAACTAGAAGTTTTCCCCCAAATATCAATGATTTATGGAGAGAACAAATAACTGCAAATAGCAGAAACCTGAAAGAGCCATACAAAACTCCAAAACGCCAGACAGAGAAAACGGAGCTCTAATCAAAGATGATATATATTTCAAGGAAAATTAGCAACAAATAACGTGTGTTCCTCTCTGCCATAATTACACTTTGTAAAAATAAAAACTTAGCCAATGTTATGGTAATTGATGAAGTGGTATCAATTGTTTATTGTTGTGGCTTAGAGCCTGGTTGTATCTTTTACACGATTATGCAATTATAGGGATGTGAAAGATTGTGAACAGCATGTGCATTTATTATTGATGCTTACAATAATTATGGCAGAAATAATAATTAGTATTTTGTTAATTAATCATTTATTTATCAACTGCTAAATTACATTACTTAGAGAGATTGCCAGTAAGATAAAAAAAATGACAGGTTTGTATCGTTGTCAGGTATGTATATTCCATCCATGAATTTTGGCTCTACACAGGTCATGCATTTTTATTACTGGATGAAAGCTCCCAAGCATCAATTTTAGAGAGAATGACTTGAGATTCCATAAAATGTCGATGGATATTTTTTTTCAGCAATATCATCATGTAGCGCGTGCAACAAAACGCAATTTGTTTTAGTTCTACTTAAAAAGATTTGTCTGTACAGCATCTATCTTCTTTTAAAATAGGGGGAAAAAAATGATGTATTCAATTATAAATAACCTAAGACTTGATTTGTTATGCATGAAGATTAACAGTTGCTTTTAAACATCATAAAATCTCCATTTTTCCCAGTACATTTTATCAATTTTAGGCAATTTTTATGGAAAATAGCTTCACTTATACAGAAAATCTTGCAACATTCAAAATAGCAACATATGTTTAAGGTATATATTTAACTTTATAAATAATCAAAAAATGTACACTGCTTGTGATTCACGGTAAAATGCGTTTTAATTGTTAAACATGTTATATTTTATGTTGTTCATTTCTTCTTCTTCTTCTTTTTTTTTTTTTTTGGTTAAACATGCGTTACACATAATTCCTTGCAAAGAATTGATCCATTTTAATCATTTTTTTTTCAATTTCGTAAAATGCAATTTCATATATTTATAATATTGAACATTTAAAGAATCTTCAATTAAACGTGTCTTTTATATTATTGCCAGAGAAAAATACCCACGATGCCATAAAACACAAACAGAAATATCTAGCAAATTGTTTTGGACATCTTAATATTTCACTTAATACATCTTAGATCGTTCATTTTAAAAGAAATGAAGAAAAGACTTTTGAATGAAAGAAATTAATTTCCTCAAAATAAATCTAATTCCTTCTATTTCTTTATAATTATAATGTATAAAAAATAAACTTGTATCAGTAGGATACATGAATTTTTCAAACATGTTTTAAAATGATTCCAAGAAGTCTTTACTATGTTTTGCAACGTCTTAAAAATTTCACAAATAATTAGCAAAAAATAATTTTAAGAAAATACGTCACTCTTCATGAAAGTGGAATTACTTTTAGTTACTCAACGTAATTATCAAAGTATTTGTTAAAATTCTTGAAATTCTAACTTCCAGATTTTTAAAATTTTATTTTAGCTAAATAAAGGCTATCAGGATTCAAAGAGTTCTTTATTAATGTATGTATACTAAGATAAATATTGTCCTGTTTGCGTTTAGAAAGAAACATTTTGAAATTATCAACTATGTTGTTTGAAAGTTTACTTGTATATTAGTTTGAATTTGGTCTATATATCAAACAACTATTCTTAATATTCTAAAATGAGTACTTAGAAAATGAAAAGAAAGACAGTTTGAATTCAGACCATTTTTACTCTAGACCATTTTGACTGTTTTAAACAATGAAAAACCAAGTGAAAATAAGAATTATTTGGATTCAGTTCTTTTTTTTCTAACCTTTTTCCCGAAGGATAGCCAGGAGGTAAAGACGGAGAAAATAAAACCCAGAAAATCATAAAAGATAAAATAATATAGACTCTGAAGACCACATACTGATACGGTAATTTAACTTCTAAAAAGCAATCAATGATGGTGATACATTGTAAGTATGTATGGGAAGACAGTAACCGAGGACCACACATTGTTGAGAGGGGTACCAGACATCATTGAAAAATACATATCCCTGTTATCTCAACAATGGCACCTATTACTGACTCCCAGGAAACCAAACTAATGCTAAACATAACCCCCCAACCGACCACAGCGACACCCATTACCTTACACAGGTGGTAAATTGGTACCAGCACTGAGCTAATTGCTCCTCCGCCAGTAAAACCATTCTTATCATTTCTACAGCTGCAATGTAGTGAAGTATATTACGGTGCATAACATCTCAATACAATTACAACTGTGTGCAGAACATACACATAATAAAAAATAGGTATCATATACAAAGAATTTAATCTAGAAATCAAATTTTTAGTTTCCTTTTTTCCTGGGGATGTGATGATATTTTTTACTTGGAAGACGTATCCAAGAAATAAGTTTTTTAACAGATATGATCCCAGAGCGCGATAGCAGACTGCTCGGTTTTTCATTGATGAGAAATTCACCAAAATAGCGCAAGAATCTCTTTGATAGCAGTAGAGGAAAAAACTATCAAACAGTTGCTAATGCAGATCACTTGTGCTTTTATGAGCCTTCTTCTGGTAACTCAATTATTTTCAACATAATTTTACGAAATCGTAAACAAATTCCAACATCTAGGGAAAATGCCACAACTATAACAATGATTGCCCTTTGTTTATTTCAGCTTACATGACTGTTCAAAATCAAGATGTCCCAAAAGTACAATATTATACTCCGGCCCGGGTTAAATGCCACAACTATGAAAATGATTGTCCTTTATTTTTTCAGCTTACCTGACTTTTCAAAACCAAGATCTCCAAAAAGTACAATATTATACTCCGGCCCGGGTTAAATGCCACAACTATAAAAATGATTGTCCTTTGTTTTTTCAGCTTACCTGACTTTTCAAAACCAAGATCTCCCAAAAGTACAATATTATACTCCGGCCCGGGTTAAATGCCACAACTATGAAAATGATTGTCCTTTATTTTTTCAGCTTACCTGACTTTCCAACCCCGAGATCTCCCAAAAGTACAATATTATACTCCGGGGCGGGCTTGCCCCCAACCCGTCTTCCACTCATCCCAAATTGATTTTCAACACCTTTTGAGAAGAACTTTATGCGTCCGATTCATCTTTACGGAATCGATCACTGGGTTCATAAAAAAATCTACTTGGAATCTCCAGACTCTAACACAAATGATAGTAAAGAGCACAGATGCTTGCAGTCATAATGTACCGTATGGTCAGCAGGTATTTGGCATCTGAAAGTAAAATGCATATAATGGGTTAACGTGCTGACTACGGTGTAGTACCGTGTTTATTGCGGTCAATTTGTACGCAAAATTAGATAGCATTCTGCATAAACACAATTTATACTTCCGTATGACATAACAAATGCTAGATAATAAGATTCTAGAAATATTAAGGAATATAACTTTTTCCAACATATCCAGTATCATTTTGTTTGAATGATAAATTCTCCATCTACTCTGCAAACCAATGCAAATGTGATCAATTAAAGGGGTCTTGTTTTCAAGAAATTAATTATGTTCTCCGCATTTTGCAATTTTCATAATTATAAAAGTTTTGAAGTTTCTTTGAATGAAAATCTCTTGTTGAGCGAGAGAAGGAATATTTTCATTTTTATTTCAACAACATACTGAAAAAGAGGTAGAAGTTCACACGGAAATTAAATGCACGTAGATAACCCATCGAGTTTCTACCCATGTTATAATACATCCATTATTCTTTTTCTTCGCTGAATTACAACTCTAGTTCATAAACCCATAAACAAAAGAGTTTTGTAATACAATTTTGGCCTTATGTGCTCAAAGCACGAAGAGGACTAAGTAAGTAAGTAAGTAATACAATTTGGAGAAACTTCTACAAAGTATGTATTATCATTATTGTTATTTTGAAATTTATAAATGAATACACATTTTCGAAGGACAATGAACATGAAGGACAGAAATCTCTAAGTCTGGTGGATGGATGCAGATAAAAAGCATAAGTAAGATTATCGAGGTGAATCGGAGTAATCGTATAGCACCTGTCTCCATTTGTTCAAAACTAAATACATTGAAAATTGCATTGCAATGAGATCACGATTTTTCAACAAAAATAAAAACTTCAGATATATTTTATAATCATAATATCATGAATTTTTGGCATCGAAATTAAAAAAAAAAAGTATTCACACAATTATCATTAAAATGATATGAATTCATAAGGCTTGTAAATTATCAACCAAAAAACAATCTGACTTTAATTTTTATCTAATTGTATGAAATTATTATATTTTCATTAATATCTCGCTTTTTTCAGCGGTCTTTCATTTTTTTAATAATGTCCGTAATTACGTGATATATCATATTACTAAAATAAAAAGTTCTTGTGAGAAAAGGCATTAACACAACAAGCACTCACATATCCTATACATAATGACAGAAGATTTAAGAGCACACCTGTCTGAAAATTGAGTACCTGCCTTAATGACAAACTACTCACCCTTTCTCCAGGCTCTGTTTACATCCCCACTACAACAGAACGGCCTCAAACTGCAAACCGTCACGTGCGATACTCCGCGAGATTCACGTCGCGCTCAACAAAAAAAAAAACCTATTCATAACACAAGTGCCTCTTCGTGAATTAGATTTGCTTTTTTCTAGGAGAATTGCAGTAATTAGCGTACTTTGCTTGATACATCGAGATTGTTTACATTGTGTTGAAATCGCAGACGTCTGCCCTGCCACTTTCCAGGAAGTATTGCTTTAAACTTCGCATTTGCTTTCTTTTTCTTCCTGGGATCTATCAAAAACACGTGTAAAATAGGTTTTCTCGGATTTCTGAATTTTATACAAATGGTCACATTATATGCCAGAAATTTTCTTGATTAAAATAGAACCAAAAGAAAATACGGCTTATTAACACTCTCGTTATACATATTTTAAGAAAGATAATTTTAAACATTATCATGACCTTTGCTGTGGCTGTCTATATTCTATGCATTTATTCTTAAATATATACATTTTAAAGAAAAATGGTGATATTGCTTCATTCATATGTATGTACAGTAAAACACCACGAGAACTAAAAATACATTGGTATTATATGACCAGTAGATATTTCATAATCTCAATTTTTTGTCACAAAACATAAATTTGTTGTAAGTGGGTATTCGCTTTACTTGTATTGAACATTAAAGCATTTTACTGTAACATTTATCATATAGTTTTTAAACTTTTTGACCAGGATAATAATGCCCATCATTTTGCATTTGGTGGATATTATTTCTTCCGACTTTCTATGCAATTTCTTTACCTTTGATTAAACCTTTATACGTGTGTTTCAATATCCTTGCAAAATTCTCAGGGGATCGAAAACGATAAACTCGTTGGAATTGGAGAATATCTATCTATTTATCTATCTATCTATCTATCTATCTATCTATTTATCTACTAGTATCTATCTATCTATCTATCTATCTATCTATCTATCTATCTATCTATCTATATATATATATATATATATATATATATATATATATATATATATATATATAAAACCATCTTTTGATCTGGATAAAATATTGAAGAAAGTCTAATGTTTTAAAGTATTTACTATAATCAGAATCACGAATCACGTACATAAATATGTTTATAAATACAATGTAAGAGTCACTAAAAGATTGCAATAATACTCTTCATTAAAATCCTCAACGTTAATGGAAGAATCCCCACAGAAAAATTCCTATCGTCATAAGGATGATAGCATTAATGTTCACAAACCACTTCCATTTTCCTTTTTCTGTAATGCTCGTTAAAAGTCGTTTATGTTCGGCTAATTCCGCCTCAGTGGCCGTCACTGGTTTGGGCGGCTCATATCCACAAATTATATATAACGCATGACGCCACTTCGTCATTTTAACTGATAAAAAAAGAACATACAAGAAAAATAAACTATTTCAACTTCATTCACGCTGCCAAAATTCAATCCTAAACTTGTCAACCATTATTTATCTCTGTTTTAATATTTTTGTCTTTATTTTAAACTTGCCTTCTTTCTTCGATGCCATATTCTCGTTTTGAAGTGACGTTGACAAGTTGTTGAACTCCAACTCCTCCTTAAACGGTTCTCTCTCTTGGAAGCTGTGACGTGACCACCAAGTCAAACGGATTAACTACAGAGAAAATACAAATCAAATACTGTAATCCACCTTTCCTTTTCGTGAGACGAATCTTCGCGAATTTAGCAAAGATGATTATATACCAAATGTTTGTTTTCCGTGAACAAGTGTATTTTTCGGGTATCGTGAAAGCAAAACAAACGACGGGCAGATCCACCTTGAGAATCACCAAAAACATTCGAATGAAAGAATCGCAAATGAAATTAAAAGGTAGTGTGTTTGTTTTTTGAATGTACATTTCATATCAGATCTATTATTTCAAATAATTAAAGGTTGCTTTAGAAAGTGATGTCTTCCATGACCTGTCCATGTAGGAAACCATTTACGCAAGGTTGGAAAGGCATGTAGAGCATTCTTTTGCAGCGGTGAATTGCACAAGAAATTGAAATGGGAAAATATTGAAGACAATAGGTAAGACTGAGGAAATGACAATCCGTCTAACAACAGTGAACACAAAGGCAATCGGTAAGCTTGCAAAAATACCTCTTAGCGAGGATGGTTGGTGGTAGAAGATGGTCTTCAAGTAAATTGGAAGAAGAAATTCTTGACCGTTTCTGAGCCAGAAGATGAACGGTAAGACAAAAAAAAACCCCACACTCCTGAAGGTTATAAAGATGAAAGGATGTAAGAACATAGAAATGTTGACTGGTTAAATCGAACAAAAGAAATTCAGAAAGACTAAAAAGCTCTTAAGCAGAAAAGGGAAGTTTTACCAGTATGATACACAAGAAGTTCGATAAACTCATTGATATTATTATCGGCAAGTTTCCTGCAGGGAGGACCCCATAAAGGTAAAAAAGAAGTGAACAATGGATAAAAACATAGAAATAGTATCTTTTCAGCAAAAACAAAAATGACTATTGTAAGATCAGAGAGAAAATCTTTTGGTTAATAGAAAAATACAAAAAACTGATGTTAATCAAGGAAACACATTTACGAAAGAAAATAATTACTTTGTAAGAAAAAATGTCCCCTAAAAAGAGTTGCTTCGAGGAAAAGTATGCATTTGTATCTTTTAAAATACATAATAAAAAGACCATCAGTGAGATTACAAGAAGAAAAAGTTGGAAGGTTCTTTGAGTAAGGATCCTTTTAATAATGATAGACAGGACGATTCCTACAATCATGAAAATGATTGTGTGACCACAGTAAACAATCAGGACATCGCGATGACGGGTGATAGTAATAGAGGGATGGCTTCTATCATTATGTAAGATAATCTTTCCGTGCAAAGAGTTGATCCTTTCAAACATTCAAAACGCAAGCAATGTCATTAAAAGAAAACGATTTTTAGAGTAACAGAGAAATAATCATTACAATGACAGAGATGGAGATTTTTCAAATCATATGGGAAAGATTTTCCTTCAAAACACACGGTGATATCATGATAAAAAAAATATTTATCTAGGCACACATATTACTCTTGCAACAAAATGATCGGATGATTCCTTCATTAAGAAACCTCAGGTTAATTACAGGAGAATATTTACGATCATGAAGACTATTTACTATGATGGAGATTTTTTAACAATAGAGACGTGGATCCTTATCTTACAATCGCCATCGGGATGAAAGTAGATAGCACTGTGAAGGGAAGGTAAAATGGATGGATTCGAACTATGTAATGCTTATGCTGATGCCTTTTGATGCTTACTTTTTATATAGATTGTTTGTATGTTAAATGTCTCTTGCGTACGAAAGCCCAGAAGGCTCATTCGAGATTCGAGTTTCGAAATACGAGATTCGAAATTCGAGTTTCGAGATTCAACATCCAAACTAACCAATCAAAAGGCGGTTTAAGATTCAATTACTCCCCTTTGCTATGTTTTGACCTTCAAAAAATCGTTGAATATATTCAAACCGAAGAGGTCATTTGATTATATTACAATGCAAGAAAGAGTGTTATATGTATCAGAACGAAATTAGAAAAAAATATTGGGTTTTGGTTTGTAAAATATGCTTAAATTTATATTGTAACTTCTTAAATATTATAATAGATTTATATCAAGAATATCTATATCGTATTATTTACTTTGTTTACATGTTTGATGTCATAATAATAAATATTGTTAATCGGATTCAAAGATCAAAGGTAGGGGGTGAATGAGAATTATTAGTGTGCAATTAAACAAGTGACTAGCGATTAATGATAAATTGTACTACGGGTTTCAAAGAGGATATAATTTGTAACAAGGTATTACAAAGTGACCAGTGACTAATACGGGTTTCAAGGTTAAGTGTGCAATAAAACAAGTGACTAGCGATCAATAATAATTAGTAATACGGGTTTCAACAGTGGATATAGTTTGTGACAAGGTGTAAGAAAGTGACTAGTCCGAAATATCTGACTTTTTCCTGGCTTTTTTACGATTTTGATATTTAAGGTGCCAGGAAAAAAAGCCAGGAAAACGTCAGGTACTTCGGACTAGAAAGTGACCAGTGACCAAGTTTGTGAAACCAAGAGACAGACCCATAAGTACATGTACGGATGGCTGAAATATACATGCTTAATAAAGATAATGATTTCTCTTTGTTCAGGCCCGTAGGAAATAAAAATAAATAAATAATCACTGTAAAGCCCCCCTCCCCCCCCCCCCAAAAAAAAAGGGGTTATCAAGGTTATTAGACGTTATTTTTGAAAGGACACAAGGATAAAGTTGCTATTTTTCTATAGTAAATTATATCGGTAAAAAATATAAGGGGAATGTGGAGGGGAGGGGGGGGGGGGAGACACATGCCCAGCGTCCTAAGGCTATGTTGTTTATTTTATTACAACGGTAGACAAATGTTCGGTTATCAACATTCAGCAAAATAATTATATATTCGATAATTATTGATAAGGAAACCGCTCGGGTCTCGCAAGATACATAACCAATCAATACACAAGTTTCAATACATGATGTAATGGCCATAGAGAAAAAAAGATATAAAAGTATGTAATAATGATAAAAAAAATTAATTATTTTAACAAAAAAATGCACCCTCTATACACCTTAAGGATTTTGAAAAAATCGTATAGCCTAAATGAGTACGTACATGTATTAAAATTACTTAGTTCATGTATGCCTTTTTAGTGTACACAGAAAATCTTAAAAGATATCGTAGTAGTGATAAACAAAAATCGCGTTCGCTTTCCCAATGGTGTATATTTCATAAAGGCAAAAAGGCTGTAGCCTACACATCATTTTCTTGATGCAAAAAAATATTTATTTATACATGTATTTGGTTGAAAAATGGGGGAAAGTTGGCATAAATCTTATTCATTTACCAGTTACTAGAATATATTTTCATTAAATGCAATAAAAGTATTTTTACAATCCACACTTTTATACCTATCCAATTTTTACAGTATACAAAACTTTTGATTTTTATAGCTGGTTAAATCTAAAATTGAAATGTTACCTTGAAATCGATATCAGACTATTAAAAATCAACAGGAGTCTACTAATATGTTTGGGTTAGTAGGGAGTCAATCATAAAACATTTTAAAAATTATATTTAGATTATTCAGTAAAGAAGTTTCCACACTTTCCATGCACTGTGTAAGGATTTTAAAATTTCTCAATTTTATTACAAGTGGTCGTGAAGATCATAAAAACACGTTTAAATGATTTATAATTATATTCACTTGAAAAATGACAATGATAGATGTCTCCAAGATCGCAGAAAGTGGGCCTCCGACCCCCCCCCCCCTTCTATTGAGAGAGGACGACTCCCTCCTTGCCTATCCGCAATTCGGCAATAATATGCGCTTTAGGTGAAATCTGTGACCTCACATTAGCTTACACATTAGCCGAAGGGAATATACGCCACAAGGAGAAATACATAAAAATTGAGTTTTCAATTAAGGCTTTGAATACTTGAATTAATTAAAAATCATATAAACAATACAGACTGGAATTTATTTTATTCCATATCAAATAGTAGATCAGTCTAACTGCACAAATTCACCCTTACATGTAATGAAATGTATCCTTAATTAAATTTCTGTGCGGTGTAAAGACAATCGTTAGCATTTCATATCAATAATAATTTTCTCCCTTATCAATATGCATATTAAATAATTTATCGACATGCATTCTAATTTCGCAGTTCAACGATAAGACCATATAATATTCTATATATGTATCTATTGTCTTGTTTAATGAGGAAAATAAAATCATATATATATATATATATATATATATATATATATATATATATATATATATATATATATATATATATATATATATATATATATATATATATATATATATATATATATATGTATGTATATATTACAAAACGTTACCAAAACTCATTTCTATTTTGTTTTAATACATATAACATTTTTTCTTGCATTATTAATTAAGCAAATAACCCATCTGTTATCAATATATTCGGTGATTTGTTGATAGTAAAAACTTAATAAAGGGGAGTAATCAAATATTGAATCCGCCTTTTGATTGGTTATTTTGGATCTTGAATCTCGAAACTCGAATTTCGAATCTCGAATTTCGAATCTCGTATTTTGAAACTCGAATCTCGAATGAGCCTTCTGGGCTTTCGTACTTGCGACTCATATGGACTTTAAAAAAATACAATGTATATCTTTGGGTAGAATGAAATTAAACGCCGTGGACAAAGTTTTAATGGATATTCACGTGTTCTTCTGGAATAGGATCGGTAAGGAGCAGGATTATTTACCTGTTTTAATTGATACTCACGTGTTTATCTGGAATAGGATCCACAAGGAGCGTGATTATTATCTTGTTTTAACTGATACTCACGTGTTTATCTGGTGTAGGATTGGTAAGGAGCGTGATTATTATCTTGTTTTAATTGATATCACGTGTTTATCTGGAATAGGGTCGGTAAGAAGCGTGATTATTATCCTGTTTTAATTTATACTCACGTGTTTATCTGGAATAGGATCAGTAAGGAGCGTGATTATTATCTTGTTTTAATTGATACTCACGTGTTTATCTGGAATAGGATCAGTAAGGAGCGTGATTATTATCCTGTTTTAATTGATACTCACGTGTTTATCTGGAATAGGATCAGTAAGGAGAGTGATTATTATCCTGTTTTAATTGATACTCACGTGTTTATCTGGAATAGGATCAGTAAGGAGAGTGATTATTATCCTGTTTTAATTGATACTCACGTGTTTATCTGGAATAGGATCAGTAAGGAGAGTGATTATTATCCTGTTTTAATTGATACTCACGTGTTTATCTGGAATAGGATCAGTAAGGAGAGTGATTATTATCCTGTTTTAATTGATACTCACGTGTTTATCTGGAATAGGATCAGTAAGGAGAGTGATTATTATCCTGTTTTAATTGATACTCACGTGTTTATCTGGAATAGGATCAGTAAGGAGAGTGATTATTATCCTGTTTTAATTGATACTCACGTGTTTATCTGGAATAGGATCAGTAAGGAGAGTGATTATTATCCTGTTTTAATTGATACTCACGTGTTTATCTGGAATAGGATCAGTAAGGAGAGTGATTATTATCCTGTTTTAATTGATACTCACGTGTTTATCTGGAAAAGGATCAGTAAGGAGAGTGATTATTATCCTGTTTTAATTGATACTCACGTGTTTATCTGGAATAGGATCAGTAAGGAGAGTGATTATTATCCTGTTTTAATTGATACTCACGTGTTTATCTGGAATAGGATCAGTAAGGAGAGTGATTATTATCCTGTTTTAATTGATACTCACGTGTTTATCTGGAATAGGATCAGTAAGGAGAGTGATTATTATCCTGTTTTAATTGATACTCACGTGTTTATCTGGAATAGGATCAGTAAGGAGCGTGATTATTATCGTGGCGAAGAGGCTGAGGAAGAAAAGGATGATTGTGAAGTGGAGAAAGTGCACTTTGGAGATGATGGCGGGTCTGAATTCCTCCTCTCCACATTTTGGACTGCCATAGCCAAAGTCCAGTCCCATTCTGATCACTCCCACCATCAAACCGATAAGTAATCCCCAGAATGCTCCCTGCACATACAAAAACAAAAAAAAAACTTTCAGTTATTGATACATGTAATTGCTCAATGATTGTTGTTTCGAGTCGGTCAGAAATTGTAGTACATGTAATACTATACTAGTATATTATATTTTTTTCTAAGATCAGAGGATTCATAATATGCACATGTCAAAATACAACTCATTATTTCACTACTGTCTTAATACTCTGATAAATCATATTTGCCTTGCTTAAATCAATTCGATTTGTGAACAATCATGTACCTCTCTCACATTAGAGATCATAACACTACGATGTGATTTAATAGTACAGTTAAACACTTATTCCAAACATAATTTATTCATAACGACGTGATATATTGTCAATAGGAAATTCAAACTCATGAAACATCCACTGGATAATAGATTAAAAATATTAGAAAATTATGTAATGTACTGGATGTCTGTTGTTGAATATTCGTCTTTTAATGCATTTTATGTATGTTAAATTTTTATGCGGGCAATGGAAAATTCTGAACTTAGTCTAGCTCATTCAACCCCATATTGATAGACATCTCTATCTTTCTGTAAATGGCTAACAAACTTCGGATCACAGTGAAGAATCCAATACGCAGATCTTTATGTAAGTGCCTAAATTTGATTTAAAAAATGATTAAAGTTTGAGACGTAGCGTTCGAATTTGTAGAATAAACTAAGACCACTCACGGGTTCATTGGTTCTCTTCCAAAATATCGCCAACAGAAAAAGTGACAAGATTGGCGGAGCTAGATAACCGGTGACAGCCTGGATGTAGTTAAAGAGTTGTCCACCTTGAGATGCTGATAAAATAGGGATCCATGCTACACTGATCACCACGAGGATTAAAATAAAGACTCTAAAAAATAAAGGTCATTCAGAAATCATGTCCACTGGACTTGTAAAATTCACGCGAGGAAAATAGATGTCCGTAAATTTAAGTTTCGCTGAATTTAAACCTTATCTGCAAACACATCCTATCGTTGGGTCGTATTTGGACTGACACAATATGTCATATTGTTTTTACGCTAATTTTTACTATGGATCAATCCGATTACCTGATCAAAACAGAGGGTTCATGGCAGATGTGACGGAGGATGCTTACTCCTCCTAGGGATATGACCCCACCTTTGTTGTTTCCACTGAGGGGTCCGTTTTCCCCCGTTTTGTATTGTTTGCAGGATTTATGATATTTTTCCTGATATTGATCACAATTCGTTATATTCACCATTTTATGTGTTTGATCATATATCCATGCATCATTCGGGGCAGAGTTTATAGATATTATTTACTTATTTGACCTAAATTTTGTATGTGGTAAAGCAAGAAATGTGAAAATAACAAACAATAATCAAGTCTAAAAATCCAATCAAATTAAGTGCAGAGTAAATACACATTCCTGGAAACACAAGGAATGGTATCAGGTGACATATAGCGTCCCCTGTCGATCGGTCACACCCACCGTGAGCTGTCTTGATCAAATAAACCAAGTATCCCGTAGACAGATCAAAATGGAAATAAGTCAAACAATTTGTTTTGAAACATCAGTCAACTTTTGACTTAGCGACAGGTTGTTTTCTTGTAAACTAATTAAAGTCATTGTAACGGCCAAAGAAGTTATGAAATGTTGAAGTATGATGAGTTTGTTGATATTCTTGTAACTTCAACTTATTTGTAAGTAGCCTGTCTTGACTTAAAAATTGATCGTACGATGAATATTCTCTTGTGCTTCCAATTAACAGGGATGCACAAACATCATTTATTTCGAGTTAATTGGATATGTCCATCAACATATGAATGAAAATGAGTATTGTTCATTGATAAAACGCCATAGATACATCTAAATGTCGAATTAAGGGCCATAGCAAATGTTTTCTTTTCATTAAGAAATTTTGAACAAATTCTGCTTCATAAGAATATAAAAAACAGGTCCTCAAATAAAGGAACACATTTTCATGTATAACCGTAGGAATTTCCAACAGATTGCTGGAAGAACCGGTCTCCAAAGACTACAGTGTATATATACATGTACATGAAGCAGGGATGGGATTATTGAAAAAAGTAATTGTAATTGAGTGTAATTAATTATATTTTTCAAAGTAATTGGAAGTATTTTGTAATTGACCAATTTTTCAATTATTTGTAATTGAATATAATTAATTACATTGAAAAAAAACCCCTGTAATTTCAATTACTTTTCAATTACATTTCAATTACTTTACATAATACATATTATGTGTATTTAATAGGAAAATATTTCCAACACAATCACATTTTTACAGTTATTTTGATTTATTCAAAGAAGCCCTTCTGTTTTTCAAAATCTTACACTTTTAATTTGATATATTGGCTTGTTTATAAAAATATTAGTTTAATTGTTTTATAATCATAATGCACATTAAACATTAATACTAATTTAATGTTTATCAAAAATTTTGTTCTACCACTCACTTGTTTAGGCATGAAAACATTTCAGATTTTTGATGCTTGATTATCAAAAAGAATGGAAGATAATTTAATGTGTCATTAATATCTGCCTTGTTGCCCTTTAACTCCCAGCTGTAAATTGCTATAAAAACAACCGTCCAAGTTCTATATAATTTTACACCATGCTTTGTTTAAATTCAAAGATAGTGATTCATTAAATACTATTAAGCATGCTCTACTATTTATATACTTCAGAAAAGAAATATATATTGAATCACTATTTTAACATTTATTATAAACAGATCTTTATATACATTTGGTGTCTGAAATGGTTATTACATATAACAAGTATTATTTATTGTATGAAAATTGCTTAAATTTGCAATGTGTTTAGCTTGCCTACCTGTAGCTGAAATAATTTAAAAAGTATTTTATGGTTTATTCATAAACTCTTGAAAACTCGTTTTTAATCAAATTTCATAATGGCAGTCAATTGATAAATGTACATGTAGGACTAGGTCTTGTGTTGATGAAACACACAAACATCAGAGGCACCTGACATTATTTTAAATATTCCCCCTACCTTAAATTTACAAGTATTTTGTTCTTCAAGATTTTTGAAAGTGAAACAAAAGTAATTGAAATGTATTTAATTACATCCTCCTAAGTAATTGAGAGTAATTAATTACATTAGTAAAAATCAATGTAATTGTAATTGCAAGTAATTGAGAAAATTTTCAATGTATTTGAAAGTATTTAATTACATTTCAAAGTAATTGACCCCAACCCTGACATGTAGATACTGTCAGTTACATGTAGGAACTCCAGCATCTTTTTAATATGAACATCAGAGTTTTAGAATCAGAATATTTTTACGAAAGACCGATTTAAAAGTTCCTTTTTGGTATTCAAAGATTCCTGATTAATCCTCACTGTATTTAGTAGATTTAAATATCCACCTTATACTTTTTATCCATTCTGACAAAGTGTCAAGGTCCTTCATATTAAACAATTGTCTGACCTATTCTTCAACACAATTCAGCATGTAAAAAAGCATCATTCACACAAATGGAACGAGAGAGAAAATTAAGGCTCTCATACCAGTATCTAGCTAGAACCCAATGAGATCGAGAGAAGTTTAAAAAATAGCAGGATGTGAACGCATCAAGGTTAGTAATTAAATACCCTCTTCACCCACGATTTATGTTTGAATTGGTTAATAAAGAAACTCAAGATAAGCATCATTTATTAATCATTTCAAAGATAGATTTATCAGTCTATTTTTTTTTTTCATTCACTTATGATTAATGCATAACCTTGAATAAAGTTGGTATACAATTTAAAGTAAAGTATGTTGCAAAAATCTCTCTACGCCTACACATTTTTCGATAAAAACAAAATTATATCTGCAATTGCATTTTCATATTATAACACGGCTATTAATATTAAGCGAACATAAAAGTTATTTTTTTATCTGCTGAAATTCTTCAAATACAAATGAATGACGTAATGTGGGCGTGCTTTATTTACCTGCCCACTACCAGCAGTTCTCCCTCAGTAGATCCTGGGCGCAGGCGCTTCCAGATATCCATGGTGAAGAGCGTGCTGGAACTGTTAAATACTGACGTCAGAGAACTCATTAGCGCTGCCATCATGGCTGCCAACATCAGACCTTTCAAACCTGAAAAATTTCATAAAAATGTTTGTCATTTGTTTTCGCTTTTTTTTTCAGAGCAACAAAACGGAATTGTAAGATGGTTTGATCAAAACATGTTTCTTGTGAAATGATCTGTGCCATGGATAGTTCAGTTGGTAGACCCCTGACTAGTAATGCAGGGCTTCTGGGCTCGATTCCCGGTCCAGCCATACATTTTCTTCTGTATAATCCATCTATTCATCAGGAGATATACTGCTCACTTCAATGTTTATATTCATACGACAATTTCTAAAGTACATTCATTATTTTTGTTAAATTTTACTATGCCTGATTATTTCTATAATTAATATTTTACTATGAAATTAAAAATATCAGGGTATACATTATTCAATTTTCTAAATCCTACAGGTATTCTTCAGTTCGATTCTCGTTTTATCTTACAAAATGCTGAATTAAATGCAATTTTCAAGCTCAAAGAGCGGCAAGATATCATTGTAGAATTAAATACTTCTTGTTGTTTAAAAATAAAACTACGATTTTAACTTTACACTAAGACGATATATCATTTTTTTTCTGAAAATGGCAATCATTTCAAAATTTACTGGTGTTTTGAGCTCTCTTACCAGATATTTACATCAATGTATTAGAGTTCAACTTAATAATTTTAACCTAAAAATTGGCATCAAAATGTGGTCAAAATAGAACTTTGTACAGATGTCATGAAATTGTATCACACTATTTTTTTTAAGAAAGCAAAAATAAAAAAACAAACAAACAAACCAAAAATTACATCAACAACTCCCACCCTTTGCATTTCATAATTTCATTTGTCTTCCACTAATGTTGACTAATGTAAATAGGATATGTAATTGAACTTGACTTCAACCAAAGCTAAATTATGTATGAAAATATAAGAACTGTTTATCTATAGAGAAAATAAGATAATTTCGGCCAAAAATCCCAAGTATATACAACATCGCTTAACTTCGTGCAAGTGTAACGACCTTTTACTTATTAGAGATGAATCAATGTTATAAAAACATTACGATATGCACCTAGACATATCTACAATAGTGTAATGTCTGTATTATTATCACTGACTTGTTTACATTGCTTTTAATAAGATGATCATAAGTAAAAGGCATGGTATTCCTACAATAAGCTAATGATTCGCCAATCTTCATGTAAATTACACGTATTTATACTGGCATTGTCATTTCCAATATAAACAAAGAGATGCACTAAGAAATGCACAGAAAATAAAATTGTACTATTATAATCAAATACTTAGCGTATAATTGTACATTCTGACTGTATGTCACCACATCTTGTTCAGAAAACAAGCGCTAGCATTTTTCTGAGAGTACTGCATATGCATTACCGAGTCCCCTACAGGTGTGGGCTGTAATTCTGTCAAAACAAGCTAATTCAGTAAACATATCTCCCCGACTTAAGGAAAAAAGGGTGAAAGAACTGAAAACATGTGCGGATGGAGAAATCGAAAGTAGATTGATTGTATGCTGTTTAACGTCCCATTCGAGAATTTTTCACTCATATAGAGACGTCACCATATTCCGGTGAAGGGCTTCAAATTTTGACCTCTACTCGGCACTCAGGGCTATTGAGCAGTGAGGGACCTTTATCGTGCCAACGCCTGCCGCCACACGGGGCCTCGGTTTTTAAGGTCTCATCCGAAGGACCCGCAACTTTCACTTCAAAGTGCCGAGCGCATGGCGAAGGAACAGTTGCTACCCATTTTTATCGACTTAGGTCAGTCGCGGCCGAGATTCGAATTCACTACCTCCCGATCACATCGAAAGTAGAAAAAAAGGTCAACCTTGATATTTCAGCCTTTAGCCTTTGGTCGATAGGGATCTAAGTTATCATCTAAAAACAATGTATGTATGTATGTATGTACATAAATCTAAGACACTGGTCTTTGACATCAAAATCAATAGGCGATTTTTGAAGTCATGTTGACTAAGGATATAAAATTTCAATGAAAACCTCAATGATAACTAAAGTTATCTCACCCAGAAACCATTTTACGCAAGATACAAATTTTTCACCTTGATCTTTTGACTTAATTAAGGACATTGGCAAGGTTCCTGGTTATTGTATAGAATTTTTCAAAAATTCTTGAGTAGGTTTAATTGTAATAAACAGGCTTTATTCTGGATTGTTTAACCTACCAAGCCAGTCTTCTTTTTTAGATTTTGTCAAATCAGTGTTTTTGCAATTCTCAATGCATTTCCTGTGTAAAATGTTGATAAAACGGAGCTACAAAATTTTTCACCATAATATTTCTCCAAAACCCACTTATTTCATTTAGTTTTTGTATTATATACATTATTGTCTCTTCATTTTCTGTGACTTCAAGATATTTTGGCTGAAAATGTATATATAGAAACAAGGCAAGGACATACCGGCACCAATCTTTATTTTTGAGTTACTTCCCTTCACAGCTATAATTACATATTATTCATAACGGTCAAGAGAGTCAGACTGGTTGATTGATTCTATTATGTAATTGACTGAATTGATTGAAACACATTGTCATAAAAATATTGGAAAGGATTTATTTCAAATTTTATTCGTAGTTACTAAATGCTGCTTCCTTCATACAACCTGAGAACTGATCTCAGTCGGTCTACCTTTCAGCATGTCACATCTTTGCCCTTCCCAGCATACAGAGCATAATTATGGTAAATGACGACCTGTTGGCTACTTTGTCCCCTGAATACAATTTACAACAAAGCCATTACTACTTTTCTTTCTTGCTGTATAGATGATTCTACCCGCTGAAGGAAGTGCACGTGCTTTTGTTTACCTCTGTAAACATACGCTTTATTGGTTTTCACCGCATAGAGAATTCTACACGGGAGATCACTCTCAATCACTATTTCATAAGTGAAAAAACCCATGTATTAAACCTTTTTTCTCCGGAAAACCTTGACTTGCCAATGTCCTTAAAAATCAAAAGGAGGTTACTTTAGTCATTAAGCTAATTTTTTCAATGAAAAAAAAAATCCAAAAACTAGGTGGTACAGATTGACTGACAAAGAGATAGACACACAGAGAAGAAATCTATAACGCCCTCGAGATTCACCGGTAGGGAACTATAGATTTTGGTGTCGGGTCTGCTTAAGTTGCTTTAAATATCCTTTTTTATTATTATTATTTTTATTTATTACACTCAGTTTTTTTTCTTTGACTATGGTAGTTCATCGTTTTACCTTCGGGCATAAGTTCCACCACAAGTTTAGGATACGCAATATTTGTACACCCAGCCTCATTATCACAAACAGCCTTACAAACTTCTGGATCTACACATGCCACCTGATCTACATTAAAAAAAAAAAAATTTTTTTTTTTCACTTCTTAGAGCATTTCAAATTACCTATAACCAGATCGCGTCAAAAGTTTAATGTGTAATTGAATGTTGATCATAAATGAATATTGTACGTGTACATAAATTGGCGTATTCAAAATTCAGCGTAGCCACTGGTTTTGGAGTTGTTGGCGAAATCATGAATTAGTGCTATGCACGTCCGTGACGTGTATTGTATTTATGAATGATTTCTTAGCGGAATTCATGAATTAGCGCATCGTTGTCTGCGCCAAAGCCGCTAAAATATGAAGCCCGCTTTTTTAAGTACACATACAGTATATAGCCTAGTTGGTGCATGATGCATTATATATCCAGTCACAATTAGGACTCAACTAAAATCTCTTTCGAGTATCGTCATTTTACTCAATCCATTGACTTATTTTTCACGCAATCCAGCAAGTACCTGTGTAGAGAATCCTGCTGATCATTCCGGGAAATATTGTGGTAAACAGGGGCAAAATCTTCAGGTACGCAGCCAGAATGGACCCGCCTTTCACGTGGTGCATGTTCTTTGCGGCCAAAGAACGCTGAACGAGTACCTGAAAAAGGCAAGTAAGGTTTAAATAAAAATAAGTATAAACACACGTATTTTTTCCAGCAGAAAGTTCGCGGTTATATTGTCATTGTTATGTAAATTGAGCATGCACAATGTTGGGACAATACTAAACTTTTCTACATGAATTAGACTTTGACACACTCTAAGGTTAAAGCCCAAGTGTATCAGATACCTTCCAATGCTTCATAGCCATCACAAAATAATTACCTAGAAATAAAATATTTACATCATACACCTGTGACCTTGACCGTGTCCCAGAGACCTTGGGACAGGATAATAAATTATCCTTGGTTCGAAAGCTACATTTGTCATAGATAAGATTTCTTTAATTTTTTTCCTTCATGAAATAATTAACTACTAATTAGTGGAAATATTTTTTTTTTACCTTTGGTTTCTTTGACCCTGGCCTTGTCAAAAGGACCTTGGGCCAGGAAGAATGCAAACCTTCCGATTACACAAGAAGTATTGACTTCTATTGTTTTTGAATTTCAGATACTGGACCAAAAAAAATTTGACCTTCAATTCTTTTGAGAAGGTCATTTAACTTCCTCTAGTCGTAAGATACCATCCTACCAATCATGAAATTTCCATAATCATTCCATAATCATTTCAAAGGTGATATCAATATTGTAGTGGTAGACAAAGAAATAGCAAGTCAATGCATCTCTTGATCTTCAAACTGGTTTGTGGGGTGGGGTGGGGGAGGGGGTAAATTCTTACAGTACCTGATCGGAGCAGAAGTACCAGCAGCTGAGGATGGTGATCCCCACTACGTTTCCTGGCCATGGAATGGAGCCAGTGACGGCGTCCCGGAAAAGATGAAAAGCATCAGACGGTGGTACCCCGCAGTCGGAGCCGTTGATGAGGGGTGAGGGTACTGATTGGGGATACATTGTGTATACTTTCTCTATCCCACCAATTTCAATAAAACCTGTCGACAAAACATTGTATTTGTGATTCCATGTAGAATTTGAAAGGAAAACATGTCTACTAGTATTTATACAGTTCTCAACTTCCGTATCTCGAACATCGAACGTCAAAGTGAGTTAATTTGAAATTTCAACATCATTTATTTTGTATTTCAATCTCAATATTAGAATCTTCGGATTTTCTCGACCCCATCGAGTGCGAGATAACGAGGTGTGACTGTATATACTTACTTAGTATCATCAAGACAATCGCACCAGCTACCATTATAACAGTTTGTAAAGTGTCTGTATAAATCACAGCCTTAAGTCCACCTGAAAGAAATTACAAGCTTGTAAATTACTAGTTAATTACCAAATATCAGCAAAAAATAAGCTAAGTTAAGGGAAAATACATGTATTACTGTAAAATTTTATTAATTTAAGATCCAAAAATGATTTAGTTGGGACTTAAATATCATTGTTTCACAAATAACGATAATATTTTAATTTCGTTACGGATTTAATTTTGTTAATGAATGATAAAACGAAATTTAAACCCCTAGAATATTTCTGCACAATAATTCTATTTAAGCTAGGTCCACAAGGAAAGTATCAGTTCTTTGGTACCTGATATGGTGTAGACGGCCGATATAGCCAGTAAAATGACCACCCCGATGTATCGGTCAAGGCCGATCGCCTGCTGAATGAAAATTGTCCCAGCATACATGTCAACCTGTCGATAAATATAACAACTGTATCAAAAATAGAAAATGCAGGGGGAGGTGTTAAAAATACGAGACAATAATTTTAATTTTAAATCTTGAACACATCTGTATTTATAGTTTTTTGTTTGTTTTAAGTTTTGTTTATGTTTTGTTTTGTTTTGTTTTTCTTTCTTTTTTTTTGGGGGGGGGGGGGGTTATACTCAGAATTTACAAAATGTCACTCAGCATCACGGCTTTTTTTTATCCCTCATATTATATTCATTCTTTTATTATCTACTTCATTGATAATCAGAATTTAAAAAAAAATCAGTTTGGATGTTTGGATAAATATATCTAGTAAGTAATATGACTTACAGAAATTTTGGTGAAGATGTAGATAAGAAGCGCCAGTACAGACATGTAGATCTGTAAACGTTGTCCACCAAATCTCTTCTTCAGGTACTCTGGTAAAGTATACACCTGTAAACAGTGATGTTGATCAAATTACAAGATAACCATTTATGGTTGTAGCTTTTCATTATTATAAGATATCTAGAGTAAAAATTGTAGCTTGAAATTTATCTAAAAATTATAATTGGTTGAATTGAGAAAAAGAACGCATGTTTATGAATAGATCATCGTGTCATTTTCACAAAACAAGTTTATGTGTTTATTCCGCTGCGATGTTTTAATTTTATGTTTTATTACGTTTTATTGATTTTATTTATTTTTTGTGCAGCAATGAAATTGAAAGATGGCGAATTTAAAGGCTAATTTATGTATTTTAAAAACAAGAGGCCCACGGGCCTTATAGGTCACCTGAGTATCATGCAACAACTTTGCCACAATGAAATTGGGTTCATGTTTTAAACCAGAGGCCATGAAATTCACAGTTTCGAAAGAGACACACTTGCTCATCATAACTTTAAATTTAGTAAGGTTACTTAATACCCAGAAAGAGAGCAGAGGATTATCAATGAATTAATGCATTTCACTATGTAATCATTAGAGCCCTGTCCTAACACCAGAACCCCTGACCCAGGGGCACAGGCACTTGTTTCGGTAATAAATTTTTAACCCACAGTATAATAATAACACAAGGTATCTAACTCCGAACTCCGAATTACACGGAGTACCCCCTTCCCCCAGAATAGCACTCATGAACACTTTCAGAGGAAATACATTGACAAACTGTTTATACCTATGTTTTCTACGATAATTTATCTACACAACCATATATGGCATGTTTGTCTTTATTTTCTTTAGTCTCCGTAAACAGCGTCAAAACTCTGCTCGCCGTGTGGAAAAGTCGAATTCAACCATGAAATGGTATGTGCTAATCCCGCACAGAGAACAAAATAAAAAAATGAGTGGGTTTAAAAATTCAATTCCAGTGTTTAATTATTGCATGAGTAAATAGAACTTGTTTATGTCTGATTTTCCCTGAAAACATTACGATGTTTATCCGATGTAATTTTAGAAACAGATTTTTAGCCATTCAAAATCTCTGTGCGGGATTAGCACATACCATTTCATGGTTGAACTCGACTTTTCCACTCGACGAGCAGAGTTTTGACGCTGTTTACGGAGACTAAAGAAAATAAAGACAAGCATGCCATATATGGTTGTGTAGATAAATTATCGTAGAAAACATAGGTATAAACAGTTTGTCAATGTATTTCCTCTGAAAGTGTAAATGAGTGCGATTCTGGGGGAGGGGGGTACTCCGTGTAATTCGGAGTTAGATACCTTGTGTTATTATTACACTATGGGTTAAAAATTTATTACCGAAACAAGTGCCTGTGCCCAGGGGCCATAAAATTCACAATTTTGGAAGAGGCATCCTTACATATCATAACTATACTCTTAGTTCATCGGCTTAATACCCAGGAGAAAAGGAGAAGATTTTCAAACAATTATTGCATTTTTACTATGTCATCATACGAGCCCCACCCTAACACAAGAACCCCTGACCCAGGGGCCATGAAATTCACAATTTTGGAAGAGGCACCCTTACTCATCATAACTATGCATTCACTTTGTTTGCTAAATACCCAGGATCAAAGGAGAAGATTTTTAAAGAAATAATGCATTTTCACCATATATTCAACAGAGCCCCGCCCTAACACCAGAACCCTGACCCAGGGGCCATAAAATTCACAATTTTAGAAAAGGCACCCTTACATATCATAACTACTGTAAATTCCTTATTTTACGCGAGTACTTAATATCGCGAAGTGGCCCAAGGGCGTCAAACCGCGAGAACAATAATTCGCGAATGGGTGATTTTTCTAGAGAATTTACATACATTAAAGCACCATAAAAATAAAAGCAAGTAATTTTATTTCGCGAGTGGAGCTTCTCGCGTAATTACGCGATAATTTATTCCTCGCGTATATTTAGGAAACTACAGTATACTCTTAGTTCATCGGCTTAATACCCAGGCGAAAAGGAGAAGATTTTCAAAGAATTGTTGCGTTTTTACTATGTCATCATTATAGCCCCACTCTAACACAAGAACCCCTGACCAAGGGGCCATGAAATTCGCAATATATGAAGAGGCACCCTTACTTATCATAACTATGCATTCATTTTGTTCGCCCTGGATAAGAGAAAATTTTTAAAGAAATAATGAATTTTCACTATATATTTAACAGAGCCCTGCCCTAACACCAGAACCCCTGACCCTGGGGCCATGAAATTCACAATTTTGGAAGAGCCACTTTTCATCATCATAAGTATGCATTCTGTTTGTTTGCATAATATCCAGGAGCAGAGAAGAAGCTTTTTAAAGAAATAATGCATTATCACTATATATTCAACAGAGCCCTGCCCTAGCACTAGAATTCCTGACCCTGGGGCCATGAATTTCACAATTTAGGTAGAGGGCTCAATGCATATTACATTCATGCCAACAGTTTGCCTGCTTGATGTCCAGGAGTAAAGAAGAAAATTTTTAAAGACTGCATTAATTTTGATGGTTTTAGTCCCACCCCTCAGGCCCCAGGGGGTAGGGGTCATGAATTTCACAATTTTTACTCCTCCTCACACATATATGCTATGCCAAATTTGGTTGAAATTGGTTCAGTGGTTCCAGAAAAGAAACTGAAAATGTTCAGATGTTAACACACGAAGGACGACGCACGCCGACGGACGAAAACAGATAGCAATAGGTTACCTGAGTAAACTCAGATGACCTAAAAAAAAAAAAAGGCCCATGGGCCACAACATTAACATGATTCACCTTGGTCCTGCTGTTCTAATGACGATTAAAAAAAAATAAAATATGATTTGAATAAACTTGAATCTCTGCTACCCGAGGATGCTTACATATTTTAGAATTCCTAATCATGGCTCTGTTGTTCTTGAAAAAAAAGTGTATTGAAACGTTCCTACCAGGTATATATTCCTATGAATACGTTGATCCCCTATTGATTCGTGGTTTCTTCCAACCTCGGGCCATGATTTGAACAAACCTGAATTTGCACTACTACTGCATTTATATTATATTATTTCCAAGTACATGTATCACGGCCCTGCTGTTCTTGAGAAGTAGATTTATAAATATGTTTTTCTTATAAATTCACATCAATATAAAAGTTAGTTTCCTTAATGTGGCACTATCTTATCCCTGGAAGCAATGATTTGAAAAGCTTGAAAATGCACTTCCTGAGGATAATTGTTTATTAATATCATTAAGAATGGCCCCTCTGTTCTTGAATTTTTTTTTTCATTCTCTATTTTCTCATGTAAACCTTCGATCCCCAATTTCGGCTCCGACACCCCCCCCCCCTCCCTTGGAGGCCATGATTTGTACATACTTGAATCTGTATTACCTAGAATATCACTTATCATGACCTATTTGAGAAGAATTTAAAAGATTTTTAAAATATATTCCCAAGTTCAATTTTGATCCCCTATTGTTGCCCCACCCTATCCCATGATTTTAGCAAACTTAAAGCTATACTATGCCAAGCAGCTTTTACATAAGTTTCATTTTTTTCTGGCCCCGTTGTTCTTGAAAAGATTATTTTTTAATTAATCCCACCATTTTTTTTAGTATTTCTTTTATATAATTATCTCCCCTCTAGTAAGGGCGTGGCCCTTTATTTCAGCAAACTTGAATTTCCTTCAGTCAAGGATGCTCTGTGGACAGTTTGTTTGAAGACATCAAAAATGTGAAATATTTACATACGGGTAGCTAAACGGACGGACTTCCGACGACAGGAGATCAGAAAAGCTCACTTGAGCTTATAACTAAGGTGAGCAAAAAATAATTATCAGATGGTGAAACTGAAATTCGTGCATTCCTGAAACAACGAACGGAGTACGTATTTTATACATAATATTTTTTTACCACTCGCTGGACAAAACGGTCAAATTTCTATTCTGGGATTGATGAAAGTTTTTTGATTGAATACAAGTATTCGTAAAACTTACCCCACTAGCGATATAAACAGGGACAAAAAGCCATCCCAGCATCAAAAGGCAGAATAATCCCTGTAAAAAAAGGTAAAGGAAAATGATCTACCATCAACAAAGAAAATATACCCTAACAATTATCTTATGTTGAACTTTTGATTCAAAGTGTTTCAAAATTTGAATTTCTGACATTCAACATGTAATTAACGAATCAAAAGTTGTCGGAGATTCTAAACAATGTAACCTTGCTTTATGAGGAAAATAGAATACAGGGAGTTGGGTAAATAAAATATTGTTGAAAATTCTAAGACTTTAGTACGATAATGTTACTTAAAGAGACCTACAGGGAACAAGGGATGATGGATATACTAGTAGACAACTATAGGACAGCCAAGAACAAGGAATGAGGATATACTAGTAGACAACTATAGGACAGAAAAGAACAAGGAATGAGGATATACTAGTAGACAACTATAGGACAGAAAAGAACAAGGAATGATGGATATACTAGTAGACAACTATAGGACAGACAAGAACAAGGAATGGGGATATAATAGTAGACAACTATAGGACAGACAAGAACAAGGAATGATGGATATACTAGTAGACAACTATAGGACAGCCAAGAACAAGGAATGATGGATATACTAGTAGACAACTATAGGACAGACAAGAACAAGGAATGATGGATATACTAGTAGACAACTATAGGACAGCCAAGAACAAGGAATGATGGATATACTAGTAGACAACTATAGGACAGACAAGAACAAGGAATGATGGATATACTAGTAGACAACTATAGGACAGACAAGAACAAGGAATGATGGATATACTAGTAGACAACTATAGGACAGACAAGAACAAGGAATGATGGATATACTAGTAGACAACTATAGGACAGACAAGAACAAGGAATGGGGATATAATAGTAGACAACTATAGGACAGACAAGAACAAGGAATGATGGATATACTAGTAGACAACTATAGGACAGACAAGAACAAGGAATAAGAGATATACTAGTAGACAACTATAGGACAGACAAGAGCAAGGAATGATGGATATACTAGTAGACAACTATAGGACAGACAAGAACAAGGAATAAGAGATATACTAGTAGACAACTATAGGACAGAAAAGAACAAGGAATGGGGATATAATAGTAGACAACTATAGGACAGACAAGAACAAGGAATGATGGATATACTAGTAGACAACTATAGGACAGACAAGAACAAGGAATGATGGATATAATAGTAGACAGCTATAGGACAGAAAAGAACAAGGAATGGGGATATAATAGTAGACAACTATAGGACAGACAGGAACAAGGAATGATGGATATACTAGTAGACAACTAAAGGACAGCCAAGAACAAGGAATGATGGATATAATAGAAGACAACAATAGGACAGAAAAGAACAAGGAATGGGGATATAATAGTAGACAACTATAGGACAGACAGGAACAAGGAATGATGGATATACTAGTAGACAACTATAGGACAGCCAAGAACAAGGAATGATGGATATAATAGTAGACAACTATAGGACAGACAAGAACAAGGAATGGGGATATAATAGTAGACAAGTATAGGACAGACAAGAACAAGGAATGATGGATATAATAGTAGACAACTATAGGACAGACAAGAACAAGGAATGATGGATATAATAGTAGACAACTATAGGACAGACAAGAACAAGGAATGATGGATATACTAGTAGACAACTATAGGAAAGACAAGAACAAGGAATGGGGATATAATAGTAGACAACTATAGGACAGACAAGAACAAGGAATGATGGATATAATAGTAGACAACTATAGGACAGACAGGAACAAGGAATGATGGATATACTAGTACACAACTATAGGACAGACAGGAACAAAGAATGAGGATATACTAGTAGACAACTATAGGACAGCCAAGAACAAGGAATGATGGATATACTAGTAGACAACTATAGGACAGACAAGAGCAAGGAATGATGGATATACTAGTAGACAACTATAGGACAGACAAGAACAAGGAATGGGGATATAAAAGTAGACAACTATAGGACAGACAGGAACAAGGAATGATGGATATACTAGTAGACAACTATAGGACAGACAAGAACAAGGAATGGGGATATACTAGTAGACAACTATAGGACAGACAAGAACAAGGAATGGGGATATAATAGTAGACAACTATAGGACAGACAGGAACAAGGAATGATGGATATACTAGTAGACAACTATAGGACAGACAAGAACAAGGAATGGGGATATACTAGTAGACAACTATAGGACAGACAAGAACAAGGAATGATGGATATACTAGTAGACAACTATAGGACAGACAAGAACAAGGAATGATGGATATACTAGTAGACAACTATAGGACAGACAAGAACAAGGAATGATGGATATACTAGTAGACAACTATAGGACAGACAAGAACAAGGAATGATGGATATACTAGTAGACAACTATAGGACAGACAGGAACAAGGAATGATGGATATACTAGTAGACAACTATAGGACAGCCAAGAACAAGGAATGATGGATATACTAGTAGACAACTATAGGACAGACAAGAACAAGGAATAAGAGATATACTAGTAGACAACTATAGGACAGACAAGAACAAGGAATAAGAGATATACTAGTAGACAACTATAGGACAGAAAAGAACAAGGAATGGGGATATAATAGTAGACAACTATAGGACAGACAAGAACAAGGAATGGGGATATAATAGTAGACAACTATAGGACAGACAAGAACAAGGAATGGGGATATAATAGTTGACAACAATAGGACAGACAAGAACAAGGAATGGGGATATAATAGTAGACAACTATAGGACAGACAAGAACAAGGAATAAGAGATATACTAGTAGACAACTATAGGACAGACAAGAACAAGGAATGATGGATATACTAGTAGACAAGTATAGGACAGACAAGAACAAGGAATGATGGATATACTAGTAGACAACTATAGGACAGACAAGAACAAGGAATAAGAGATATACTAGTAGACAACTATACGACAGACAAGAACAAGGAATGATGGATATACTAGTAGACAACTATAGGACAGACAAGAACAAGGAATGGGGATATAATTAGTAGACAACTATAGGACAGCCAAGAACAAGGAATGGGGATATAATAGTAGACAACTATAGGACAGACAAGAACAAGGAATGGGGATATAATAGTAGACAACTATAGGACAGACAAGAACAAGGAATGATGGATATACTAGTAGACAACTATAGGACAGACAAGAACAAGGAATGATGGATATACTAGTAGACAACTATAGGACAGACAAGAACAAGGAATGATGGATATACTAGTAGACAACTATAGGACAGCCAAGAACAAGAAATAGGGGATATACTAGTAGACAACTATAGGACAGACAGGAACAAGGAATGAGGGATATACTAGTAGACAACTATAGGGCAGCTAAGAACAAGGAATGGGGGATATACTAGTACACAACTATAGGACAGACAGGAACAAAGAATGAGGATATACTAGTAGACAACTATAGGACAGCCAAGAACAAGGAATGAGGGATATACTAGTAGACAACTATAGGACAGATAGGAACAAGGAATGAGGATATACTAGTAGACAACTATAGGACAGACAAGAACAAGTAATGGGGGATATAATAGTAGACAACTATAGGACAGACAAGAACAAGGAATAAGAGATATACTAATAGACAACTATAGGACAGACAGGAACAAGGAATGAGGATATACTAGTAGACGACCATAGGACAGCCAAGAACAAGGAATGAGGGATATACTAGTAGACAACTATAGGACAGCCAAGAACAAGGAATGCGAATATAATAGTAGACAACTATAGGACAGACAAGAACAAGGAATTAGGATATACTAGTAGACAACTACTCTATAGGATAGCCAAGAACAAGGAATGAGGGATTTTCTAGTAGACAACTATAGAACAGATAAGAATATTGAGAGGAACATTACAAGAGAAACTTTAGTGAATAGGTATAAGTAATTTTACGTATAAGAAGGTTAATTTATAGTGTATGTACGTATAATGCCTTTGTTCTGATCGTTGTTAAGACTTTTTTTTAATTTGCGGCATTTCTTGATCCGCTCAGGTTTGGATGTTTTCTGAAACACCCTCAACGTAGGGGATATTGCTCGTTTACTATGGTTAAATTTTCAAATTAATTTGCATATTAGCAACAAAAATTGAAAACGTCTCGTGCGTCCCCCGAAGCACGGAGAAGATAAGTAATTAAGTAAGCAGATATTGATGACAAAGCAAACTGAATTTTCTTGTTGTTGTGCACCTTCAGTCTAGGAAGTAAAATATACACGAATGTTGGTAAACACCCTCTACTCTTAACTCTTTTTATCTACCTATATTGCAGTTAACTTATGTCAACAAATCCTACTTTTTATAGATAGCCTGTTTTTAACGTCATGGACATTGTTACCGTATTTTGTTTTGAAATCTCTCACTCTGTAATTTTCGGATGTATTATAATATTTTTTACCAATTTAGCAATTAAAAATGTTTAGCAAATCGATCCATGATAAATCAATTTGATGCCGTAAGACTATTATGTATTAAGTATAAAGACATGTACTTTAAATTTTAAAGTGACAGTACGGCGCATCTCATCAAAAAACTGACTAGATAAAATTTTCCGACAAGATTTGGAATTTTTTTACTACTCATAAATGTATAAGCTTTCAGAAAATTACAACTTTTACAATTAAATAATTTGGATTATTTCATTAAAATTAATAGTTATTTATGGGACGTAAATATATACATCGCAACGTGTTCGGGGTTCCACATTCCATGCTATGCACGCATGCGTAGTTTTCATAAACAAAACAGCATGGTTAGAGAGGGAATCCCGGTAGGCTCGGGTAGGCCTGCTACATTGACAAAGTCGACTAAAAATAAAAAGAAACTGAAAATAGAACTTGAAAAAGCAACTTTCCTGACTAAACTTTAGTTTGGGGATTAATATAATCGCTGGATAAGGAAGAAACGGGAACTCGGCGACACTCACGCAGGGCTCTCGAAGGTTCTATTCGACAGGTTTGTTGATACTTGTTATCATTTCTCATTTTTCCGTCGCTTTCAAAGAAAAACAATAGTGTAAACTCAACATAAAAAATACATCTTTGACTTATAAAAATTGTTGCCATTTGAAATGCTAACTTTTCTTAACTGTGCAGAAAAATATTTTGTTTGACATTTGCCGCGATAACGTATGCATGGTATGATTAGTTGGTTTTTCCTTCCTCGCCTGAATGCAGACTAAAATCTTTACGATTATTATTTTAGATTGTTTTATCAGAAAGTTATGATAATTTGTGTTTTTTTAAAATTGCTTTCACCTAATATTCATTACAACTGTAAACTCTACAGTGTAGGCACGTGCCGTTTTAGAATTCACGTGGTACAAATAAACAGATCTAAGATTGCTCCAGTTCGTATGACCCTTAATTTTCCGGCAGATTCTAATTACGTTAATTTTGTTTGAGTAGAGAATATTTCTGTTTCTCAAACTGCTTACATCAACTTTATACCTTATTTCTTAATGACATATTGGGTAAATTTGGATGAAAAAGCACACATTTTGCAGCCGAACTGTCGCTTTAAGCATTGTTCGAACTATTTTTTTTTTCCTTTTATAGTTCACCATTTCATCTGTATAATATCCCAAAATTGGGTTCATCATTTAATGGATATGTTTATTTCGATTATATCTATTGTTTGATCGTCGTGCATTAATTATGTAATTTCATATTAATTACAAGTAAGTGTATACACATGTATGATCAAAAACAAAAAAATCTCAAATATCAGCAAACACATTTCCTCTTTTTTTAAATACTTGATTTGTAATTTGATAGGATACTTACATTAAGTTCATAGCTGGCTACAGCAATCCCTGACGCAGCACCTGTACCGGCCAGACCCACAAAACTCCCGCTTCCAATATTACTGGAAAACAGGGAGGCCCCTATCTTAAAGAAGAAAACTTAAAGATGATAAATTAACTTTCACAAATTAGCACCAGTTACATGTACGTGGGTGGATTGATGTTAAACACTTGACATACAAGCATGGATTAGAATGCTGATCGATATTCTTTTTAAATTTTTTTTTTGGCATTTTGGCATTTTCCTAGAATCTTTCATGAGCCAGAATTAAGTCATTCATAATTATTTGTTAAAATGAACAAATTTTAGTTTTGTTTTTACCCTTTTATTATAACTGATATAAAATTCTTACAGCAAACCATAGCATTTCTCTTCCCGCCAAAAAGTAGCCGCTAATACTACCTCTGTTTGTCCTCCATGTCGCCTAAAAAACAACACCAGACTGGTCAGGGGGTATAATGCCTTATTTAATATATTGTATGCAATTACCTATATGACAGATTCCAACCTAAGTGTTTAAAAACAGATTGAATTGAAAAAAAATGAAATGAAAATTCAGAATTTTGTATCATAAAAGTATTAAAAGAAAAACAGAATGAGTGAAGAAGTTAATAAATTTGAATAAAATAAGTAAAATAAAAATGATGAATTTTAAATCTTTGTAATAATATATGATACATGTATATAAGCTTAAGATAAACTTGAACATACATCATTTGAACACATATTGCATCTTAATACATTAAAAACCCTTAATTCAGAAATTGAGAATAATATGGATATGTACATGATGTAATTGTTTGAAAAATACAAGAAATCAAATATGCAAGTGAATCATTGATACTTTACGAGAGAGAGAGAGAGAAAGACTTACCCAGATTCCCGTTGCCAGACAGAAGCCCAGATAAATCACAATGACCGCGATGTCCACTGCCCCCACCCCCTTGGGACTGAAAGCCGCGGTCCCATTCACAGCCATGATTCACGGTATATATGCAAAAATGTCTATAAATGAGTATAAACAGTTGTAATCAGGTCACTATGTACACCCGTCTTGTAAACTGATAATACATAGTAAAGAATTGCCTTTGACACATCTAAGGACTTGTACATTTACCTGAGAAACTTAAAGGAATATATCAGCATTATTTATTCTACCAGATTTAAACGTGTCTAGCCATATTTTTAAATAACCTCGAATTGGGTCGATTGTTCGGATGGGGACTTTCCCAAAACTAAAGGGATTTCTGTTTCTGTAGAAAACGACACTAATTTCATGCTGAAAGAAAGGTCAATTGAGAAGAATTTTTATGTCATGGCATGCTTTTGCACTGGATTATTACATGGCATTACCAGTACAACTAATGCATCAGGATTTAACAAAAAAAGCGATTTTTTTTTCTACAGTCTTTTATGGAACGACACGACTGCCTTTACCGGGGCAATTCTCAAAATATTCCAGAAACGTTCACAACGAATGCGTTGAGATATATTGCTAGATGTATTCAATTAAAGCTTGTTCGCTGTGATCAGTCTTAAATTACCTGCACATTAAATGAAGAAAGATACTAAAGCATGTCCCTGCAAACCATTTATCATTTCAGATGAAGAGTTTAAAAATTTGTATTCCAAATATTGGATCTTAATGTATAAATAATTACATGTATGTGAGATAAGTATGTAGCAGGCCCGTAGGAAGCAAATTCATTTTGTGTGTGTGTGGAGGGGGGGGGGGGCACAACCAAACATTTTCAGTTTAGAGGGTGGCACTACCAAAATTTCAAGAATTCCTTGACAAGTCCCCCCCCCCAAAAAAAAACGGCAAAAGTATTGCCCGTGTGTACCCCCCCCCCCCCCCGCTTCATACGGCCATGTGTAGATTACAAATTAACAGAGGTTAACATTTATTTCCCCTTTTCAATCACAATAGTCAATCCTTTTAGTAAATTTTGATAGAAGTATTGGCGATTTTGGGAAAACTTTGATAAAAATTCTTTATAAATTGAATCCCCCGTATCTCCCTGCATTTATTTTGCACTTTGAAATGAAGACTGCATGGATTTGAATTCAGTTATTTGCATCCCTATATATTCGTTACAAACAGACTTTCTAAATCTTTCTTGTATACTTCTTTGTAAAACTTAAGACCCCTTTTGCTATCCTATCTTTGCCTTTGGCCAAATATTGATTAATTAGTGCTTTAGGACGTGTCGACAGTATTTCAACTATTTTTTTTTTTTTTTTTTTTTGCGAAAATATTGTTTGAAAGATTAATTTAGCGATATCGAAAATATGAAACATTTACGACGACGGACGAAAACAGATTGTAATAAGTTACCTAAGAGACTTCGGTGATGTTGTAACCTGGATACATGTATGTATGAAAAGTTACAACTAAATGTTTAAAAGTCTATTTGATTACGTTAGCTATAACTCTATGTGTAGAAAAGGTTGTTAGAATTCAATCCTAAAATCAGAAGTTTGAAAAATTAAAATTTCAATTATTCTTTTAGTTCCCAAAAAGAGAAGGAAACATTTTACAAGTACACAAAGGTTATCTCTGCAATTTGTAAACATTACACGTCTTTTCAAAAAAAAGTTCTTTAAGAAATTAAAGGACGCACAAAGCTACCCTTAATTTACGACTATGATGTCTTGAAAAATAAATGATTTTACGGTTATTCCGGTAAGGCAAAGGTATTCTGTATAAGGATTGATTAAAAAAAAAAAATTCTTATCTTCTTTTTCAGATTACCTTTTGCATTGAGTACAGGTTTTTGATTTATAGCGTTAAACTGATCCAACCAAATCTTTCTGCAAGTATACCTGGTGCAGGACGTTTGACGGCAGCAAAAGACAGCCGTAAAAGGATTTAAGAATATCTTCTACGAGGTTTTATTGTCCTTTTAAAAACATTTTCAAGGTAGGAGCAACGTCTTTGCATAATCACAGGGAAACCAAAGCAGCCCAACCACACACAAAAGGTTTGGAGAGCAAATTCCATGTACGAAGATCACAAAGGAGCTTCAAAACCCATACAGGCACTAAGAATCGGGGGCACCAGGGGAGGGGGTCTTTACAATAAAAAAAAAGAAAATAGTATATACCATACAATATAAAATATAAATAATTTCTAGTTGTTCCCCTCAGAATTACATGTAATGTCTGGTGACCTTTTCATATTTTGCTTGTCAAAAATCCACACACACCCCCCCCCCCAATCCTAACTAAAATTGCTTCCAACGGTCGGGCCTGTCCTATGTAAGGCAAAAATAGTAACCTATAGAAAAATTTTTTACAAAAAGAGTGAAGATTAACATTACATAAAACAGTATCAAGCTATATAGAGCAATATCATAGAAATATACTGAATGACAAGAGGCCCATGGGCCACATCGCTCACCTGAGCAAATTGGCTAGGCAAAAGCACAAATCAGTTCAGTATTGAAAAGATTCTTGGGGGGAGCTTGAATTTTAAACTACCTGATGATGCTTCCATGTCAATATAACAAATGGCTTTGTTGTACTTGAGAAGATTTTTAAAAAAAATTCCCATCTATTCCTTTGTAAAAATTTTATCCCCCATTGTAGCTCCTCCCTATCAAAGGGGTCATCATTTGAACAAACTTGAATCTACACTACCTGAGGATAATTCCATATCAATATGACTAAAAATAGCTTTTCTGTTCTCAAGAAGAAATATTTTTTCTAAATATTCTTATGTAAAACTTTTGATCCCCCATTGGGCCCCACCCTACCCCTCGGGGTCATGATTTGATCAAACTTGAATCTACACTACCTGAGGATGCTTCCATATAAATATGACTCATCATGGCTTTGCTGTTCCTGAGAAGAAGATTTTGAAAGGTTTTTCCTATATATTTCTATGTAAAACTTTGATCCTCCACTGTGGCCCCACCCTACCCCCAGGGGTCATGATTTGAACAAACTTGAATCTACACTACCTGAGGATGCTTCCATATAAATATGACTCATCATGGCTTTGCTGTTCCTGAGAAGAAGATTTTTAAAGATTTTTCCTATATATTTCAATGTAAAACTTTGATCCTCCATTGTGGCCCCGCCCTACCCCCGGGGGTCTGATTTGAACAAACTTGAATCTACACTACCTGAGGATGCTTCCATATAAATATGACTCATCATGGCTTTGCTGTTCTTGAGAAGAAGATTTTGAAAGGTTTTTCCTATATATTTCTATGTAAAACTTTGATCCTCCATTGTGGCCCCACCCGACCCCCAGGGGCCATGATTTGAACACACTTGAATCTACACTACCTGAGGATGCTTCCATATAAATATAACTTATCATGGCTTTGTTGTTCTTGAGAAGAAGATTTTTAAAGGTTTTTCCTATATATTTCTATGTAAAACTTTGATCCTCCATTGTGGCCCCGCCCTAACCCTGGGGGTCATGATTTGAACAAACTTGAATCTACACTACCTGAGGATGCTTCCGCATAAGTTTCATCTTTCCTGGCCCTGTGGTTCTTGAGAAGAAGATTTTTAAAAGATGCTACTAATTTTTCACTAATTCTTTATTATCTCCCCTTGAAAGAGGGCATGGCCCCTCATTTGAACGAATTTGAATCTCCTTCACCCAAGGATGCTTTGTGGCAAGTTTGGTTGAAATTGGCCCAGTGGTTCTGGAGAAGAAGTCGAAAATGTGAAAAGTTTACAGACAGACAGACAGATGGACGGACAGACGGACTACAGACAAAATGTGATCAGAAAAGCTCACTTGAGCTTTCAGCTCAGGTGAGCTAAAAACTAGAACTGTCCAAAAGGGACCAATACCCCCCGCTGGGTTTTTTAGAGAAGGTACCAAATCACTAATGTTTTCTAGATGTGAGAGGTGTTCACAATTTGCTTAAACATTTAGAGTGAAAATTCAATTACTCATTATATTTTTTTTAATGAATGAAACTAAGGTGCAGCCTCATAAAACATCAATACTAATAATTACAGTGTTTTTTATTACCTTGAAAAAATAGTTTGCAACTATCTGTCATCCTTTTGAGACATGACACTCTGCAAATTGATTGTTGAAAAAAAAATTATCATAATTAATTATACAAAATCAAATTGATTTAAATACCTTTATATCAAACTCATTTTAAAAATAAAATGCTGGTTCCAGTAACTATGTATTTTGACAGACATAAATTACAATTAAGAGACTTAGACAACAGAGATCTTTATTTCTTTCTGCCCAATTCCCAGGAGATATAGATAAGACCTGCTTGATCAGAGATGCCCTAACAGCTTCCCACACTGAACTCATCAATTAATCTTTAACTGGATGCATGTCCACTCATTACTCCCAAGGGACAAATGGATTTACACTATCTGCTGTGTAATGTAAAAACTGTTTTTAATACTTTGTGATTTTCTTTTTCTAGTTCTAATGAGTTGTTTTAAGCTGTAGTTCACATTTTTGTACAGATGTTCTAAATTCTATGTCTCAAACCTTAGACATGAGCCCGAAATGACTAAGTCAATAAAAATGAAAAAAAAAACAACTGTAAAATGCAGAAAAATTATCAAATAATGTTGAAAACACCAGGTGCACATCTTCATATAGTAAATAATAAGTGTACAAATTTTCATACAAATCTATGCAATAGTCTCTGGGAACAGATCCGGACAAAACCACATAATACAAGAGGCCCATGGGCCGCAGCGCTCACCTGAGTAACTTTGGCCTTGCTGTTTTTCACCTGATTCCCCCCCCCCCCCCCCGTAGTACTTATTGTGGCCCCGCCTTATCCCCAGGGGTCATGATTTGAACAATTGGAATCTACACTACCCCAGGATGCTTCCAGATAAGTTTCAGCTTTTCTGGCCCAGTGGTTCTTGAGAAGAAGATTTTTAAAGATTTTTCCTATATATTTCAATGTAAAACTTGGATTCCCTATTGTGGCCCCGCCCTACCCCCGGGGGTCATGATTTGAACAATTTAGAATCTACACTACCCCAGCATGCTTCCACATAAGTTTCAGCTTTTCAGGTCCAGTGGTTCTTGAGAAGAAGATTTTTAAAGATTTTTCCTATATATTTCAATGTAAAACTTGGATTCCCTATTGTGGCCCCGCCCTACCCCCGGGGGTCATGATTTGAACAATTTAGAATCTACACTATCCCAGCATGCTTCCAGATAAGTTTCAGCTTTTCTGGCCCAGTGGTTCTTGAGAAGAAGATTTTTAAAGATTTTTCCTATATATTTCAATGTAAAACTTGGATTCCCTATTGTGGCCCCGCCCTACCCCCGGGGGTCATGATTTGAACAATTTAGAATCTACACTACCCCAGCATGCTTCCATATAAGTTTCAGCTTTTCAGGTCCAGTGGTTCTTGAGAAGAAGATTTTTAAAGATTTTTCCTATATATTTCAATGTAAAACTTGGATTCCCTATTGTGGCCCCGCCCTACCCCCGGGGGTCATGATTTGAACAATTTAGAATCTACACTATCCCAGCATGCTTCCAGATAAGTTTCAGCTTTTCTGGCCCAGTGGTTCTTGAGAAGAAGATTTTTTAATGACCCCACCCACTTTTTGTATTTTCTTAATTATCTCCCCTTTGAAGGGGACTTGGCCCTTAATTTTAACAATTTAAACTCCCCTTCACCCAAGGTTGCTTTGTACCAAGTTTGGTTAAAATTGGCCCAGTGGTTCTTGAGAAGAAGTCGAAAATGTGAAAAGTTTACAGACGGACGGACAGACGGACGGACGACGGACAACGGGTGATCAGAAAAGCTCACTTGAGCTTTCAGCTCAGGTGAGCTAAAAAATGAAGAAAAACACCTGTAAAATGCAAAAAAATTATCCAATCATGATGAAAATACCAGGTGCACACCTTCATATGGCGAATAATAAGTGTACAGACAAATCCTTGCAACAGTTTCCAAGAAATGGTCCAGACAAAATCTCGTCTACAGACAGACGGACAGACAGACAGACGGACAAGCTGATTCCAATATACCCCCCCCCCCACTAAACTTCGTTTGCTGGGGGTATAAAAAGCCTCACAAGACAAACTTCAACACACATTTAGAAGTATTGTCGCAAAAGGTATGAAAAGCATGATCAAGTACATTATATCTAAATGATATGGAGAGTATGTTTACATTATACATTTAAAGGTGTGAGGAAAAAATAATTTATACAATTTTATAAAATTACAAGCATGAAGAGAAAGATCATATCATATATCTATGGCTATGGGGAGAAAGACCATATTATATATTTACGGTGAGTTATATGAAAAAAAATCATTTATTTACAGTTATGAAGAGCAAGGTCATATTAAATATATATATTCATTAAATCTGGAGAAAAAGGTCATATTTTAAATTCACAGGCAATGTATAAAAACAATCTAAATCACACTTACCTCAGAAATTAGAATAAAAGACAAGAAATTCTGTTTGCATATTATCATATATTTCACACAGAAATTTGTACCTAGGACAGGTGCTGCAGGTTTTACTTGATGATTGACAGCCAAATCATCATATAGCCCAAAATGAGTCACTGCAAATTTATGTCTCCCAAATTTATACATGGACCTAATCACTGCATTAGATTACTTAGTGAAATGTTACAGGTGACCTAAACAGAATACATGTTTTAAATTTACCAACCTTAGCCACCAATAGAAAAAAAACACAACTCAAAATATTCAACATCATAAGAAAATTGATTTTAATGAAAAATATAAAAGTAACATAACATTGTCCATGATACATCTCACAACACAGTTCTCCATTACAATGACTTTGTCTGATATCCTTCGACACAAAATGATTAAAAAATGACCCTTCACCATGCCATGTGTTCTTCATGACCTTGTGACACAACATTCAGTCAAATGACACAGTCCCCAGTAGCATATACCCTGTCTCACTTATTTTGTGGCATGTTTTCCTCCCTACAAAGATAAAATTCAAAATTATTTATATTTTGTGTACTATAATATACTGGTCATTGGTTGGTTTACACGTTTTCATGTATCACTTGTATTTGACATCAAAAATCCCAGATTTAAGGTTTTACTTGGATGATAGCAATAATAAATAACTTTGGTATTGCAACCAATAGCTAATGTCACCCAAAACTGATCTTCCTCCATTTCCATGGCAACAGTAGCCATTTTGACTGTTGCATGCACAATTACGCTTGGTTATTATTATTATTGAGAGGTTTCATTAAAATTGTCTACGCAATATGTGTGAAAAAAATTAGGCGGCACAATGACTTTGTTAGGGGTGACATAAAAATTGTGAAAAAAGGAATACCTTGATCTTATCAAGTTCTGACTTTAGACTGTGAACTTTTGACCTTTCTTTTTCTAGTTCTGCTGTCAGTTCTGCTACCTAAAAGTGAACAAACATGATGACATTCTTCAAAGAATTTATACATGTATAAGAATTACATTTTTTTGTATTTGCTCACAAGAAATACAAACAGCTCAATAATGGTTTTTAACTATGCCTCTATAACTACTGGTAGTACCTGATCAGTGAGTTCGTCCTTGACCTGAGTGAGTTGGTCAACCTGCATCAGAACCTCAGCTTTGTCTTTCACTGCAAATTATTTATCTTAAAATAATCATGCTTCTCAGTTATAACTACAAAGTCTCGTTTGCAATTATCCTAAACATTCAGTTAAACAACTTTTTTTTTTTTTTTTTTTTTTTTTTTTTTTTTTTTTTTTTATAATTTTATGTTATTTTGAGTTACTTGTATGTTGGGTAACTTTTGCCTCATGTTATTTTGTCCTGTCACACTTGCAAACATCCCCCTCCCCCCCCCCCCCCTTTTCTAAATTCGCCCAGACAAAGCTGAATAAAAGAAAGATAACCCTGTCTGCATTTGAACCACTTTGAATTTGTTCACTGATGATGAAGGCAAAAGAGATGAAAATAAAACAGGATGCTAATTTCTCTGTTTACAGTTCATGTACATGTTCTTATGCTACTTCAAGGTGACAGCATTTGCAGACATTAACATTACTTAAACTTTTCTGATTTACTAGAGATAAATTGGGATACTCTGAAATTTCGTGGTGGGTTGTTTCATTGTTTTCATGGTATAAAGAGACCCATGAATTCACATCCTCAATGAAATGTTAAAATTACAAAGTACAGTATCATATATGTCTACCAACCAAGAAACTGAATCTCCTTGAATCAGTGATTTAACAGTACTCTGATATTGAAGTGTGAGTTGTCGACTTACTTTCTCCCTGAGCCAGTATCACACACAGCTGCTTGTTTCTCTTTTTCACTTGCTTATATTCTTCCTACAAAAATGAACATTTTACATAAAAATAGAATAAATACTAATATTATTTTCTTACAACTATGCCCATATTGTTAGAAAACTTTTCTTCTTGGGAATAAGTGGCAAGTTTATTCATTTATTTATGGGGTTTTTTCATTTGAATTTGTTGCTTATAGAAAAAGTGTATAATGTTGCATGACTTTGTTGCATATGACAAAAATATTTACCTTTTTATGATATGAAGTAATGAATGTGAAGGCAGACAGCTAGCATTAATAAATGATTAAAGTAATTAGTTCTTGGCCTACAAATGCCCTTAATTTTGAATATGCAAAAATAAATAAGCCGACAGTAACCTATACATGGACTTTACCTCTAATTTCTTCATAGATGTTCGTAGAAATTCTATTTCTCTATCTTTTTTCTCTATTTCTTTCTGATGCTTTGCTGAGACTACACTTTCTACTGCAAAGTGCTACAATAAAATATACCGTAGAAATGCTTTTTTCCCACATGATATTTATTTACGGTACGTATGTGGTTACACATTTTCCGTGGAAAGTACAATTAAGGCATACAGCGTCAATCTAAGAAATTTTCTACCCACAGATTGAACAGAAATTGTGATTTCATGCACAGAAGTATGACCCCATGGAGAAAATTATGTTTACAGTAATCAAAACATTGTCTGAAAACATTTTTAAAAAACCCACTCATTTGAGTTCCAGAATTGTTTTATAATAAGACAAAGCAAATTTCTGCCTGTTTCTACAGACATTTACAACAACAAAATATACTGAAGAAACCTCACAGGATAATTCTGTCATTAAAGTTAACTAAAATGACTGAAAGTTTACTAATCAGGGACTGAATGACAGAGCTCTGCCATTCCGCCACCTTTCTAGACCTTTCACTTGACGGAATGGTGCGGTTTTATGCTGTGCCTCGAGTCAAAGCAGTGACCTTCACCTTTTGGTACTCCTCCTGAATTTTTTCTTTCTGTATAATCTTTTGAACACTGTCGTCTAGGTGAGAGAAGAACTTAGGATCCGTCTCTGCTCCGTTTGTCTGAGGCATGGACGGACTGGGCACCTCCTCCAACTCTGTCAAAAAACAAGGGATCTGTTATGTCTTACAAAGAATGCTGAAAAAAAGTATTTGTCTCTCTATAAGCAAATAAACTTTTTAATAATTTTAGAAAATTAATATTCGAGTGACAAATGTCTTCAATTATTGTGTTTTAAATTTTATAGAAGTTTATTTATGTGTAAACACTTAAATTACCACAGTATATATTTAAATAAAAATGAAAATTATCTATGCAAAAAATTTCAACTTAGTGTCAAAGAATACTAAGCTGATGCCAAATTTCACCACTTTACTGAATTTAACGAGGCCGAGTCTAATTCGAGTGTGCATGACTTTGCACAGCTTTTTAGTTTTGTGCATTCATAGGTGCAACATAACACTTATCCTAAGTATTGTAATTCTGATACAAAATTAATATTATATTACATCATCTATAACGTTTATGGGTCTTAAAATGTGATTTTAAGACAATAATTAGGAATAAACACTGAAATGGCTCTCATGATGTCATTGTTTTTCATTCTCTAAGCAATGCATGACGCTGAAGAATGATGCATGACTCGTTAGAGTTTTTAAGATGTCCATGGACATTTTATAAAAACCTGTTGACAGAACATCAAAAGAAACATACCAACAATCTAAACATTGTTGTTTTTTTTTTTTACCAAATTAAATTTATCTGTGCCGTTATATACAAAATGTATGCTGCAATATGGCAAATTTAGAGGTATTGGGCATTGGAAAAAAATAAACTTTGTAATAATTCCTAGACCAAACCAGATGGTAAACTTTTTTTGAAATTTCACGATTTGGTGCCTTTTTACAATAACTTTCGTGTATTTGACTGAAAAGGAAATCCCTAGGGCATAAATACCAAAAATATGGGAAAAATGTGGTAATTTGGCGCTTTTCCAACAAAGTTCCATAGGGTCCAATAGTAAAATTTGACAACTTTTGAGATGGCCCCCTAAGAAATCGGGATGGTAAACATTTGATTTTTTTATCTTAAAATAATTAATGCAATAGTAAAAATTCATTCAAGAAAATTTATCAAAATATCTAGGGTAGAAATAATTAGACTCGGCCTTTTTAAAATCAATTTGAGATCATATTTGAAAAATATAGCAGTTTCTCTTTTTTCTGTAATATTTGTTATATATTTTATAATGAACTTCCAAAGATAAGAATTTCTTTAATCCATTGCAGTTACTACTGCTGGTAATACGTTCTATTTCCATTAGTGAACTCTTCAAAATTAGAGGCGCGTTTGGGCGTCTGACTGGGACAGCATGGCGTGGCGGATAATATAAAAACATAACAATCTCAATTCAATTTTAAATGTTAAATGTATTTGTCATTCCAATTAAAGAATAGAAGAACTAAAAGACATATGTAAGAGAGCGAGAACCCTAAATTTATCATCTATTAATAAAAAATACGACATTTCCAAGGCATGTGTATTGTATTTAGATGTTCCATACGGTAAATAGATACATACGATCAACAATAGATATAAATTGATATCGTTGTCATTCCTACTCTTGATGTATATAAAGTCCACAACAATAAAATATTTCATTTGCATTTTCTTAGGAACTGTTCATTGACATTCATCATATTGTTTACATGTTTATGTTATGTTTGTCCCAGAAATCCCGCGAGATTTGTACATTTTCCAACTTTTACACAAAAGAGCCCACTACGAAGTATAACTCTTCCATAGTGGTAATAGAAAGTATTGTAGGGATGTTTATGACTGAAAATTCAGGGATTCCATTCATATGAATTGGACAAAAATATATGGGCATTAAAATATGTAATAAAAAGATTATTGATTGAATATCAGGAAATATGCCAGCCATTGGTTTTTGTGCCGATGTGGACCTTGAAAGCTTGGCCTGCTTTACGTTACAAAGACCTTGGGCTGAAATATTTCACAAAAATTCAGTAAATAACCTACATGTACTGAATTCAGTAATTACTTGCTACGACTGTATCCATTTTTCTGTGAAAGATTATGTACCTTCTGAGAAGACTTTGGGTTTCTCTGAGTTCATTTGATTGAATTGATCCAGACTCATAGTGGCTGGCTTGTCTTTGTGTTTTCTCTTCTTTTTATCCTCTTTACCTTGTAAGTGGGAGGATTCTGGGATCCCCGCTTCCTGTGACACCTTCACATCCTGTTGCATTACAAAATTATGAGACAATTTATTTTCCACTTTTCATGTCATTGAATAATAAATATATCATTTGATAAAATGCATCATTCATATGATCAGACTCTACAAAGGAAAGACAACTCCTACTACCAATTGATCCTTTACCAAGCAGAGCAGACCTAACCCTTAGCTAACAAAGATGCGTCTACATATATCTGGACTAAAAGGGTACCATTTTAAGATGATTTTTTTGCATTTTAAACAAGCTTTTGTTGTAAATTCATATTTACATTTTGACAAACAATTCTTTTTGAGAACCAGTATTTCAGAATCCACATCACAAGCTGGCATTTGATTTTCCACATCGAAGATTATTCAGAAATTAATTTTTCCAATGAGCAAGTTTTGTCATGAAATTCAAATGAGACATACTATGGTGACACAAGCAACTTGCCATATGTATTTATTAAAAAAATCACTGCATGCTCAGAATTTTTTTAAAAAGATATATCATTGCCTCACTTTTCAAATAAATACAATTTAGTAAAGAGCACCAAGAAATAAATCATTACACCATTGTTAATGCTGTACACTATATTGAATAAATACAATCAAACAAAATATTTACATTTTCCAATGTCTTTCTCTGAGATATAACTACAAATAAGGTAATGGCTTTATAACCCCATAAAGCCATTTGCTCAGCTCGTGACAGAACTGCATGCTTTTTTGCTGTGTGTTGCTTAGTAATACACCTGATGGGGATGCTGAGATTTCTCATTATTGAACTTTTTTTAATTATTGAATCAAAGATCTGGTAAAAATGTAAATATAAGGAATAACTGTCTGGTTTTATGATGACAATCAATTTGCTTGCGTGATAACTTTACGCATAAACACCTTTGGCGTTTATGCAAATTATCACACAAGCAAATTGATTGATCACATCATAAAACCAAAAAACAGTTATTCCTTAAATATATACGATTAAAAAAAACATGAACGTTTACTTTGATAGAATTACCTGTTTAGATTTTTCATACTCTATTTTACTTTGTAACAAAGCTTCTTGTAAGTCTTTTTCGTAGGCATCTGAAGTCAACTGAAAATAAAGAATTAAAGGATGATTCACCACAGAAAGCAAAATGCAATCATTCATTTTATATTACATTTAAACAATCAACAAAATTGTATCGAGTCAACTGGACATACAATTTATAATCTTTATTTAAATCCAAATTGTCAGGTATGACTGTCTTCAAGAAATTTCTGTTGTTTTTCAATAATGAAACTCTAGATCTAGCTAATGAAATAAGCTTTAAGATTTTGTTGTTGTTTCATGAATGTAGTTCTGATTTTTACTTCAATCTCTTGAAAGTACAGATGAATAGATGTGCAAGTAAAGGACTCTCTATGTTAAATGGCATTGAGGCCAAAATAAAATTATTGTTTGTTTGGAATTGCCTCCCACCTCATTGAAATGACCCCTCCTGGAAAAATTTTATTGACCAAAAATATGAAGATTTCTTTTTTATTCAATCAATTCTTGGCCTGCTACCACATGTGCCACCCAATCATTTAATAAGTGTAGAATCTAAGCAAAACTTGGTTCCTGGTTGATGGGAGATACCCTTTACAAATAGGCAGAAAATAATGTGTTCATCGCTTATTGAGATTTTTATCATCAATTTTTAATTTAATTTTAATTTTGAAAAAAAAAAATTCCCCTCCCTCTCTCCTGGGTCTGAATCCTCGTCCTCCCAGGCAGCAATTCCAAACAAACAATTTTTTAAGGATGGCCTGAACTGTCCAGTATAATATACTTTATAATGCGTTGTCTTTGTTACAGTTACATGTACATGTAAATACAATAAAACTTGTCTAATCCGGACACTATTGATTCCAATTAAAATGGCCAGATTATACAACGTTCCAGATTAGACAACATTTCAAACAAATGAACTTACTGAAATGGACATAAAGTTAGAACATATTAAGCAGGAATTTGAATTACACAATTTCTGGTTTAGACAAGTTTCACTGCATACCTGTTCAGATTTCCCCGAAATGTATTTATTCTGCATTAAACAACTACAGAAGTTAAACGTATAGAAGTAAATAAATTGTGAAACTGCGAAAACATAACATTTCTCCCTCCTTAAATTGTCTTTGCCCACAAAGACACAACCCAAGTTCTTTTTACCCCTGGCATGATTTTCACCTGCATGTCCAGGGGTGGTCGATGGCACCAAATTAGGTAACAGGAAAGGATGAAATCTTATAGCTGGACCAGAAATTGAGTCTGGGACCCCTATATCACAAGTCAGGTGCTCTTACCACTGAGCTACCCAGACAGATGTCAACAGCCCAAACCATTATACCTATATCTGTACTGTAGATTCCTTATTTTTCGCAAATACTTATTAACGCTAAAGGGCTCTTCAATGTCAAATCGTGAAAATAATCATGATAATAATTTGTTAATGGATGGTTGATCAAGAGATTTTTCAAAGATTTCAGCACATTAAAAATAAAAGTGAGTAATTTTATTTTGCGTGTGGTGCTTCTCGCGAAATTACATGATAATTAATTCCACACGTATATTCAGGAATCTACAGTAACGTTTATTTTTCTTTACAGTATACCTATTCTTACCTGTTTATCTGTTTCCTGCCATTTTTCCCAGTCTTCTTCTGAAGGTTGGGCAGCTAATTTTTTCTTGTTTGACTTGTGTTGACCAGACGAAGTGGGTCGACCAAAGGCCAAATTTCTTAACTACCATTATATCAATAAAAAAAAAATCATTGATTTCAGAATTATAAGATCTGAATTCTACATAATAGAGCAATACAGGCATGAAAAATGTTGATTAAAAATCAAAATGCATTTCCATGGTTGGAAATTACAGCCTGCCTGACCACCTGAGGCTAGCAACGACGAAACTTCAGATGAGAGCTTGGTGGTCAGGCTAATTCTAATAGCCAGTTTCTATTTTAAATTTATAGACATCTCTATTGGTTTTCGCTTTGAAACAGCATATAGTTATTGAGAATTAGATAAAGAATAGAAATTATAAAAAATAAAAATTTCCAGGAGCCTGCATTACAAATTAAAATAATTTTCTATTGTAAGTGCATCCATAAATAATGAACATTTAAATCAGGACTGGCAGATTTTTAAAAGGGCTGGTAACTTTTATAGGAGCCAGTCCTGTAGATGGCTGATATTTTCAGGGAATTTTCAACCCTGGCTTCTCTAGAAATATTTTAAATAAGCTTAAGATTGCTCACGTGATTTTGAAATGTCAATTTAATTTACTACTTCCATTAACATTTTACAGATTTACGCCATCAGGTTTTTTTTCTACCTCTTCATCCTGACCGCCTTTCTTCTTCTTGTTTTTCTTCTTGTTGGTCTGTGCATTGCTCGATTTTTGTGTTGTCTTTGTATCATTATCATTATCATCTCCCTCCACTTTTAAGAGAGCAAATCTGGATGCCACAACTTTTGCCATTTTCAGTTGAGTTGTTTTTTATAAAAATGTTTTGGAAAATCACGTTGTTTGCAATTTTTGTTTTTGGAACATTGAATCTCGATCCCGAGTTTTATTCAGTTTTAAATAGTTCTGTATATTTTGTGTGAAAAAAGTTTTCTTATCATAATTTTTAAAATAGCTTTTAACCTATATGATTAATAAGACTAAATTGAAGAATTCAACTTTTAATGTCAGAAGAAAAAATTCTTTATTAGTTTTGTAATGTATACCCGTAAAAATGAAATAAATCAACAGTACTCAGGATGAGCTACATTTTTGACAGGCCCGTAGAACGCGGGAAGCCTCGCCCCCCAATTTTTTCTGAGTATAGTATTTTGCCATAGTAAATTTTCCTTAAGATGGAACCCCCATCTTTTTTTTATTGGTTCTGGGTCGACCACTGGCAAATTCCCGGATAAGGACAGTTAATTAATGATTTTTTTTTAAGCCCCCCCCCCTTCTTTTTTTGAACCGTTGCAACTGACCCGTTTAATTTGAAAACTGTTCTCTTATGCTTCAGCAATTAGAGTTTTTAAATAAGTTTTCCATTTCAAATGAAATAAAAGAAATTTGTTAGCATTCATTTTTCCTGTCATTAAATAGAAAATTACAATTTTACACCACGAAAACTGCAGTTCTCATTGCTGCAACGAATGGATGCATTATTTATACATAGGAACATGAGAAGACAGTACATGAAGTTTACAATGCGTTGCAGTGCAGTTATATTTTAAATAAAAAGCAAAATTAGTTTGCAATTGAAGAGACTTCACTGGACAGTCAAAATTTTTCAGATGTTTCGCAAATACCCAAATCAGTCTTCGATAAAAAAAAAAAAAATCAGCAAAAGTAACTGTTCTTTGATGAGAACTCAGTTCTAAGTACTGTTATCAGAATATAATCTGTTTATCCTTCCTGGTGCTTATCTGCATCACTCTCAAAATGTCCACTCATCAGTCAAACACGAGAATTCTATCTTTTTCAATCTTTCATATACCCAAACTAGCCGTTTGATTAAAAAAAAAATATTCAGCAATGAAGAAATTTGTCGAAAAATCCTTCGACATTATAACTGCATTGATAATTTAGATTCATAAGAAAGAGAATAATCATATAAGAAAATGTGAATGAAAATATTCCATCCAGTCTGTTTTTCAAAACTTTTTAAAAAGGAAACTGTATTAGAAAATATGTTAATTTACACCTTATTTTCAATATCATAATGTTAAACAAAATTGGACTTAATTTCATTGATTGACATTGCATTGTAGTGCAGTGCAATAAAATGCTATTAAATTCTTATTAAGGTAAACAGTATAAATTCTCTTGCCAAAACAAAAAAAAAAATCCACTCATTAGTCAAAAAGGAGTGTTCATTTCTTCTGGATGTTTCGCGCATACACAAACTAGTTATTCGATTAAAAACAAAACAAAACAGCAACACGTAACTTTACGAAAGTCCTTCGACTTAATTACTGATTGTTAATTTTTGATTTATATCAAAGAGAACAAATATTTAGGAATATGAGAATAAAAGAAATGCTCTCTAGTCTGTTTTTGAAACTCTTTTTCAAAACATAAAATGAAAAAAAGTGTGTGTATTCAATCATTTTTTTAAATTCAATTAATAAAAAAATGACTAAGTCTATCTTGATTCGACACTTTGACAGGCATCACAATGTGTCGCATTGTATTGCAGCAGAGTGCAGCATGCTGCAATTCTACTTGTATTTAAACAAGTACAATTATTTTACTTGTCAATGTATTAGAAATATTCCCCCACCATCCACCCTCCAAAGACAGCTTTTATATACAATTTTTCCTTGTGATTGAATGTTTCTTTGGAAATTTGCATAATGTAAGTTTTGTTACAAAGTTCGATAACTCAAATTATGTCCCTTTGAACAACGTAGACAAAACGATCTTTGCTTTCTGCTTTATATTATGTAAATGTTTAAGCAATGCTAACGAATAACAGGCTTGTATACTATATATAAGACGTTAGAGAGACATTCACAAATGACCATGTGTTAAAGTCAGAGTAAATAACGGTAATGTCGCGTGTAAAGGACTCAGTGTGAGCTTATCTCACTAAACAAGTACTTCTAAGCAGTATTGAAAAGCGTGTTAGTCCTTCGGCGCTTTGTTAGAGTCTCAAAATATTCACACATTAGTCAAACACGAAAGTTTATATTTTTCCCCCCACTCTTTTGCCTAATAATAAAAATTGACCATGTATGTTTTAGTAAGACAGTGCATCAAGCATTACAATGCAATGAATTGTAAAACAGTTATATTTTTAATTAAAAGCAAAATTAATTAGCTGAAATAAAAGAACTTCACTCGACATTCAAATTTTTCTTGGGATGTTTCTCATATATCCAAATCAGTCTTTCAATAAAACAAATCAGCAAAAGTAACTGTTCTTTGATGAGAACTCAGCTCTAACTACTGTTATCAGAATAAATTCCGTTTATCCTTCCTGGTGCTTATCTGCATCACTCTCAAATTTTACACTCATCAGTCAAAGACGAGATTTCTCTCTTTTTCAATCTTTCATATACCAAAACTATCCGTTTGATAAAAATTATTCAGCAGTGAAGAAATTTGTCGAAAAATCCTTCGACATCATTACTGCATTGATAATTTAGATTCATAAGAAAGAGAACAATCATATAAGAAAATGTGAATGAAAATATTCCATCCAGTCTGTTTTTCAAAACTTTTTAAAAAGAAAACTGTATTAGAAAATATGTTAATTTACACCTTATTTTCAATAACATCATGTAAAACAAAATGGACTTCATTTTATTGATTGACATTGCATTGTAGTGCAGTGCAATAAAATGCAGCTAAATTCTTATTGAGGTAAACAGTATAAATTCTCTTCAAAAAAAAAATAAATAAAAATAAAAAAAAAAAATCATCAGTCAAAAAGGAGTGCACATTTCTTTTGGATGTTTTACACATACACAAACTAGTTACTCGATAAAAAACAAAACAAAACAGCAACACGTAACTTTGCGAAAGTCCTTCAACTTAATTACTAATTGTTGATTTTTGATTCATATCAAAGAGAACAAATATTTAGGAATATGAGAATAAAAGAAATGCTCTCTAAACCGTTTTTGAAAACTTTTTTTTTGGTTCAAAACATAAAATGAAAAAAAAGTCTGTGTTTTCAATCACATTTTAAATTCAATAAACAAAATGACTAAGTTTATCTTGATTGGACAATTTGACAGGCATCACAATGTGTCGCATTGTATTGCAGCAGAGTGCAGCATGCTGCAATTCTACTTGTATTTAAACAAGTACAATTATTTTACTTGTCAATGTATTAGAAATATTCCCCCACCATCCACCCTCCAAAGACAGCTTTTATATACAATTTTTCCTTGTGATTGAATGTTTCTTTGGAAATTTGCATAATGTAAATTTTGTTACAAAGTTCGATAACTCAAATTATGTCCCTTTGAAAAAGCAATGCTAATGAGTAACAGGCTTGTATACTATATATAAAACGTTAGAGAGACATTCACAACTGACCAACTGTTAAAGTCAGAGTAAATAACGGTATATGTCGCGTGTAAAGGATCTAGTGTGAGCTTATCTCACTAAACAAGTACTGCTAAGCAGTATTGAAAAGCGTGTTTGATTGTTCTACAAAGTCATTCGGTGCTTTGTTTGAGTCTCAAAATATTCACTCATCAGTAAAACACGAAAGTTTATATTTTTTTCGCTGTTTTGCCCAATAATAAAAATTGACCAAGCATGTTTCAATAAGACAGTACATCAAGCATTACAATGCAATGCATTGTAGGGCAGTTATATTTTTATTTAAAAGCAAAATTAATTAGCTTGCAATCAAAGAACTTCATTCGACACTCAAATTTACTCGGGATGTTTCGCATAAAGTATATCCAAATCACTCTTTCAAAAAGAAAAATCAGCAAAAGTAACTGTTCTTTGATGAGAACTCAGCTCTAAGTACTATTATCAGAATATAATCTGTTTATCCTTCCTGGTGCTTATCTGCATCACTCTCAAAATGTCCACTCATCAGTCAAACACGAGAATTCTATCTTTTTCAATCTTTCATATACCCAAACTAGCCGTTTGATTAAAAAAAAATATTCAGCAATGAAGAAATTTGTCGAAAAATCATTCGACATTGTAACTGCATTAATAATTTAGATTCATAAGGAAGAGAATAATCATATCAGAAAATGTGAATGAAAATATTCCATCCAGTCTGTTTTTCAAAACTTTTTAAAAAGAAAACCGTATTAGAAAATATGTTAATTTACACCTTATTTTCAATATCATAATGTAAAACAAAATTGGACTTAATTTCATTGATTGACATTGCATTGTAGTGCAGTGCAGTGCAATAAAATGCCGTTACATTCTTATTATCTGTATTCTGCATTCTGTATGATCAGTTTAAACAGTCATGGTACAGTGAAATGTTTAATTCACCCAAAGGTCTTAATTACAGAATATATAAAACTTCATTTTGTTTAGAAAAGTATTTAGTATCATTGCCTTGTAAGCACTGGAAATTATTATGTAGGTTTAGAACTTGTAATAATAAATTGCCGATTGAAGTTGGGAGATGGCAAAATGTACCAAGAGTGAATAGAATTTGTAAGTTATGTTCAAAAAATGAAATTGGTGATGAATATCATTACTTATTCAATTGTAATGATCCATTTATTCTGAAATCAAGATTATCACTAATATCAAAGTATTACTATTTATATCCAAATGTGTACAAGTTTGATCAACTTTTTAATACAAAAAATACAGTTAAATTGATAAAACTGTGTAAATTTATAAAAATTATCTGTGAGAGAGTTGGCTCTCCTGGTTAGGTCATTGTTAGTTTTTTGACTTTGTACTTTTTCTGTTTCACGCATGCACATATGTTTAACTATATTTGTAATCTGTCTCTACACTGTACTTAATGTCAGTTTATGAGAATAAATTCATTGTCATTGTCATATTAAGGTAAACAGTATAAATTCTCTTGCAAACAAAAAAAAATCCACTCATTAGTCAAAAAGGAGTGCATATTTCCTCTGGTTGTTTCGCGCATACACAAACTAGTTATTCGATTAAAAAACAGAACAAAACAGCAACACGTAACTTTACGAAAGTAAAATTTCATATCCAGAATTATATTACCGAGATGGTATTACTGAGATGCAGGAGACGTGAACCAAGTGCAGCGTTTCTTGTTTTCTGTGTTGTGTTTTCTGTTGTCATGTTTTGTTTGCAATTTTGATTTTTTTTCCCCTAAATTTCCTTTATTACTTTGAAGAACTCTTCGATTCAAATACTAAACAAAATGGTATGTGGGACCTATCAATAATATAAATTTTAGATTTTCTCACAAACTCAAAAATCAAAGATCCATAAAAATAATACTGGGCCGGTTGAGGGCAAACGAATTATTCAAGTCATGATTAATTGAGTGACTAGTTTTACAATTTCCCACGAGTTGAAAATCGTTGAATTGAAATATAGTTTCTTTTAGATTTCATACTAAATTTGAGTAATTCTTGAGTCGAAAACCATATTTCCATTAAAAATCAGTTGTCTCTCACATAAACATTTAGCCAAAATATTGTTATCGTGATTAGAGAATTTGTAAATAGCCGAAATATTACCTTAGTGATTTTAGCATTGATAAAATAGGGAAAATCCTACTCTGAGAAAGAAAGAGGGGGGAATGGCTCTCGAGAAGAAGTCCGACTCCAGAGTACAGTTCTGGAGGGGAAATATGTCTAGGCGGGGAAATCCTACTCTACAACACCAGAGCATTTCGGAAAAGTTGTAAAATTTTATAATCAATAAAAAAGGACGTATTTTCCTTCAATTGCAAAATATTTCCCGGCAAAGATTGAGATTAGATTCCTAAATGAACATTGATGTTGGATTAATTTATCATAACACTGACATAATTTCATTTTATTGAAGATATACACACCCGTAAGGCGTAATGGGGTTAAGAAAAATAAAAACTTGAATAAAACAGAAAATCATTTTTATGTTCTTATAGGTACTCATATATATAAGTGTAAAAAAAAATCGAAATTCGTAAAAACATTCCTGTAATTGATATCAACTTGTAATGAGCTACCAACACACACACCTGACGTATATCTTATTTTCAAACATTTAGTATGGTCTCATATATTCGTGTTTCGCACAGAAACATTAATTTCCGTCTTTTAAATGTTATTTCCGATTCCATCCTGGCATCTCTCTCTTTCTGGGACTTGTCTGGCAGGACAGAGTCCAGATGCTATGGAGCTGAATGTAAAAAGGAAAACAGATATCACGATACAGCCGTCATATAGGGTCCATTCCGACAAGATGGCGGAGCTCCTCGAATATGAAGAAGGTGATAATAGTGTGAGGTCCAATACGCATCCAGTTAGGAATGAAACCTTTATATAATCCTAGAGGACCTTCCGATCGTAGAATCTTAAAGAAGCAGTCAAATGCGTTCTTGTAAACCTTCTCATGGTGTGCCACTGATATAAAATAAAAATCATAAATTAGTTTTACCATTCTGGAACTCAGCGCTTCTTGAGGAGAGAAGTATGTTTTAGGATATTTTCGTCGTCTCAAGCCACAGTCAGGAGTCTGCATACATCTCTCTCTCTCTCTCTCTCTCTCTCTCTCTTACCCAGCCAGAATGAGAGAGAATTATAATACCGTGGGTATGATTTTGGAATAAAACGTTAATTTTTTTTTTTATTTTTCATATGGAAAATATTGTAAATGTGTACTAGAAGATTAATTTATGAATGAAAACAAATAAGAATATCCTTGGACCCGGGGTGTATATTCTGAGGGGGATGGTCCTGTGTCTGAAGCTCAGGGATAAGTACACTTCCTTCCTCTTTTTAGAGGTAAGAAGCTAAATCAACCATATAGGTAACTGACGATGGAGATGTATTCAAAATAGGGCTGCACAATAATATCGATATTCCGGTATATTGCGATTCGTTAAAAAAAAGTTATGGGCAATGTTAAAGTTTTTGCGGACAGACAGACGGACGGACAGGGCAAAAACTATATGCCCCCGAATCTTCAATTACGGGGGCATAAAAATGTTTTAAAGAATTTGCTCCAAATTTATAGAATCATTTCCTTCGACATTTACCTTAGACTATAGTATGTTATTCTAAAATCTAGGAGCATTGTCCACAAACACTCATGCATAATAAAATGGCTATACTTAAATAATCTTGACCTTTGACAAGGAGAGCCAAAATTTAGAAATCTTTTTTGTTCTCCACCCAGAGGTATAGATTTAATGCACAATAATGATATGAAGTCTGTAGGCAGTCTTCGACAAATACCGGGAGTCCGAAGCCCGGGACCTGGTAAAATTGGAAGAGGGCATGTGGAAATTGCATACTTACAAGCCCAAAGGGCATGTGAATTCTGAGGCCTAAGCCTCCGTATTATCAAATTAAGTAATACCAATAACATTAAATGTACTTAAAAGTCTGATTTTTCATCTGAAGTGGAGCACCAAATAAAATTTTCAGGGAACTCTTTTGCAAAAGAGACACAAAAAGTGTACAGGTTGAAAACAATATTAATGGCAAGACAATAGATCGATAGAAATGGATTTCGGATCATTTCCTTGGCATAAAAAGGCAAATAAGAATAAAATTACTTGATAAAAGTCTGGGCATGTGAATATTTGTTCGGGCTAGCGTAATAAGTGGTTAAACCTGCCCGAAGGGCATGTACTGAAGAAAAGATTTGGCGAAGACTGTGTAGGTTACAAAATCTTCAGGTTATTGTATCACATTTGGCTTATTTTAAAATAACCATGACCTTGCCCTTTGACAAAATTGTAGTTGTCTCCCTTGCCTCTTATAATTCTCTGCCTTTTGAGAAATTATGAAAGAACGGAATATACACATGTTCACATCACATTAAAATGTAATAATAATCATGGCAATTATTTTAATCTTAAATTCTGTCCTACCGTTTGTCTGTTGGTTCATGATTCGTGTTTTAATGACGTCGACAGGTGACGTAGTCAAGGCCGTCATGAACCCCGCTATCATGGATGATATTACATGAAGATATGGTCCTTCAGTCATAAGTCCTGCGTTCAAAATGGTGTGTTTTGCGTGGTCATAACTTGGAATCTGTTTGATAAAAATAAAAAAACAACAACACTTGTAGTCAAAGAAAGACAGTATCAGATGTTTTAGCATTAAAATATATAGGCAGGAAAATCCATGATTACGGTTCAGTGAAAGAATAAATATACCTCCCTCCTCTTTCCCGTTTTGTTCATCAAACTTTTTTGTGATGAGTTCATGAGTAAATCCATCCAAACACCTATCAAGTTCATTAGATATACTCACCTGCGTGGCTGTCAAAATGGCTGCTCTTTTTACAGTAGGTCCAACTCCTATGTAAAGTCCACGTAGACCTTGTGTAACAATGATCTCTCTAAACGCTGCCAAAGTACTTGTGTACCGGGGAATTTCACCTTCAAATAATTTACCCTGGGCTTGCATTCTCACTTTGATAAGATCTGTTGGTGTTGCTATGGCGCTCCCTATGGTACCTGCAAAAAAGGCTTCTGTCGTTATTGGCCTATGATAAGTTTTAGTGAAAAGAGAGCCTCGGAGAGGGGGAAAAGGGGGTCTATAATTTTTTTTCTGCCGGTATACTAGAGAGACAGATACCAAAAATTATAACCTTATCGGATAAATGAAATCTTGAGTGAAATTAAGTTTTGTTTTTTTGTTTTGTTTTTGTTTTGTTTTTTTTTTTTTACATTTGACCGCTGCTAGTCAACCAGTTTTTAAAGCTGTTATGTTACCATCCACTTTTCGTGATCTGTGTATATAATTTTCCCCGATTTATTTTTGAGTCTCTATATGCAATAACTGACCTGATATGGCGCCTGCGCAGATTTTTTTCCATAACGGTGTGTGGGCGGGGTCTGTGGCGCCGAAGTAAACTTTCAGCGGTTCATAAGCACCAAACCGGATTGTACTGTAAGAACCTTCTCGTATCAACGACGGAAAAAGTCTACAAAAAGAATAGATTTGAAAAAAATAAATTTACATAAGTGATTGGTGTATGTTACATGTAATTACCATAGAAATGGAATTGTATACCTGACCAAATGGAAAAACACTAGCGAAATATGTTTTGCTTTTGAACAATTACACGTGTAATACATTTACCTTTATACCTTGAAAACTATAATTAACAACCACAATGTAGGGTTTCCGAACTCTGTATGGATTTTTTTTTACCCTTTATAAAGGCCTCCCACTCCTTCGTCCTTTACGATCCGCGCCCCTCCCTTGATAAATCCGTCATAGTATCTATTCCTGATGGCCTCTAGTCCTTTATGTACTGACAACTCGTTCTCCAACTGCATTCGAATCTTTATTACATCTATGGGGTTTGTCACTTAAATCATATAAACACATGTAAAATTAATTTTCTAACCTAAAACGTACGTTGTCCTGTTTCATTTAGTACTTAATTGGAATGAATTAAAAGGGAAATTCCGCCTCCCCCTTTTTAACTTATACCCAAATATTGAAAAATTAATAAAGTATCGTCTATAATTAATATATGATTCATCCTAAACAGTCAAGTTTTTACATCCTTTCTTGTAAAATGATAACATGTACGTTAGATTACATTAGAAGTTTAAACACACCCTCAACCCCCCCCCCCATCCCACCCCTTTACGAAATTGGCATACTTTATATTTACTTGTTGAGTTGGTAATCCCCCCCCCCCTCCCCTCTCGCCACTGTGAAAAATTCTTGATCCGCCCTTCAACGTTTCTGAAGATATTATTGATCTATATGCTGCTTGTACTTACACTCTAGAAACGAAAGTGGGCCCTACGTACATGTACCCTACACTAAGCTCTCCGCGCACTGGTCTGATCAAGATCGATGACTAGGCTAAAATGACCTAGGACATCTATTAATATATATTCATCCGAGGCCCGAGGCTTGTCCTTAGATCAATGAACTTTAATCTTCATAGAAATAAAAAGTGCCTGTATAATCACACATCCCCCTAAACATCAACTCACCAGTAGCTCCACACATGTTGGAGACTCCGGCCAGGAGAAATCGCCATGCTTGTTCGTTCTCCAGCCCCATAGTAGTACCGACCCCCAAACAACACACACTGACACCGCTGAAAATCTTCACGCATTGATGCCTTCCTTTGTCATGGTTTAAAGCGTTTAAAAAGCCAGTGTATGTGTATATAAAATCCAATAACATCTACACATGTACTTACTTATCTTCATGCTTATGCATATTTTACCTAAGGATGTTGTTGTATATTACGATAACCCACGTGATCAATAGGTTTCTATGGTAATCAAACTCACAGGGATTATGATATAACAGGGGTATATAGCCGGGAAGTATGCGTCAGTTTATATATATCTTTAACTTTTGATATCAAAACAGATTATGACCCGAAGTGGGAAAAATCCTTTTCAAACAACAAAATTTCACGATCATAACGTATAACCATCATTCGCAACGATGACACAAACATATACTGAGATCTTACAGTTTATTATGACTAGCAGCCTTTTGTTTGAATTCTATTTTTTATTTCAGGAACCTACATACTGATGACCCTGGTTAATTTAAAGTATAACTACGGTGGTGTATTAAGGACACGCAAATATTTTTGTTTTCTTATGTTGGAAAATCCTTCAACAACTTTATTATATTATAACACAAAGGAGATGGGTGAACAAGGCGCGCAGAATGCCTAAAGCTTCAGATATATATAAAAATCATAATCAATTTGTGAATTTAGTATTTAGAGTAAAGTTCTCATTAGTGAAATTAATGAAATTATGATAAAAAAAACTTTTCTGAGGAAAATTTTATCAGCAAAAAATTATTCTGTTTTCAAAAAAATAATGTGGTATTCGTGGGGTTCGAACCCTAGCAATATAAATCCTGAGTATCATTTTCCTTTGAAATTGAAACGCTTTTTTTTTTAAAATCTTTTTGAAATTGACACGCTAACCAGTGTGACTACGCTACACAACTCTTGAAGAATTGTGTAAAATGAAAGTATACTTTATGTAAATTCTCCACAATTTGCAATAATCTCCCTAAAATTGAAGTTATTTGCCTATGAAATATACTAAAGAGGGCAAAAAGGATCATTTTCTCATACTAAAACACAATTTTTCGATATGAGTGGGTCTTCGCTACATATTTTTCAAAGTTTATCCTCAAAGTTTGCCTAAAAATATACATTTTTTGGTCAACAAAAACATGGAGCAAAAATCCACTATACTTTAAAAGTACACTTTTATGATACAACATTCGCATCTTTCCGAGAAATATTTAGAGTCCATTTAGTAAAGGGTCATATCACAAACATGATTTAAGGTATGTCACTCGCCCATCTTCTTTTTCATAATCGTTATCAAGGCAGGTATTAAAGGAACTTTAATTATTCGAATACCTTCAAAAGCCGTTCATGCATCAAAAAGTTTTTCACGAGCACAGTCTAATTTTACTCTGCGTATGTTTGTTTATACACGTACAATTTGATTCATTATTAATTGTATAAATAAATCATACATGAAAATTTATTCCAAAATCATAGATATTTTCATTGCTCGTAATAATATTTGTGGTTGAAGAACAGTTTTCGTTTTCATTATACGACATTATATATATATATATATATATATATATATATATATATATATATATATATATATATATATATATATATATATATATATATATATATATATATATATATATATATATATATATATATATATATATATATATATATATTAGAAAAAATACTTAAGGAACTACTAATGGAAATCAGCTCTTTCTTCAATTAAAATACATATTAAGACCATGGAGCATTAACTTTCACGTAACGGAATGTAGTTTGAAATTAATGTATATCAGAATTTCCTATCCAATGTTTTTAAGGACACGCACAAGATAGATATATGAAATATATTGATATATTCTTCCAGGTGACAGCCATTTGATTGGGGGGGGGGGGGGGCAAATTTTGTTGAGTCCGATTATTTATGTTCATGCTTTCACGTGACGGAATATATTTATTTCTAGGAAGACAAGAGATTTTTCTTCACTGAAAAAAAATTCTGATTTATTTCCAGGATCTTTTAGCCTCTCCCCTCAAATAGGAATCAAATGGGCGTCCCCTTTTGATTTCTTTAAAAACACTGGACAGAAAATTCTGATGTAATTAAAAAAAGAAAACTATTCCGAAATTAAAATTATTTGTTTTCTGGATCATTGTAACATTGTAGCTGAGGAAGATTGAAAATCAATTTCACACTAGAATTTCAATGCAATGTTTTTTCAGACGTCCGTGTCGAATGTACCTGCCCATTTCAATGTCTATCATTAAATGTTTTGACTGGAAATATGCAGCTTACTTCATTTCCATCTGTTACAATCTTGCCAGTTAATGTTCTGATTCTATTAATTAAATGCGTGTCTACGAAAAACCATGCAGAATGCTATGAAAGCAAGTTTTTCAAAATTTCTTGAAACTTTGCATACAAAGTGAGATCAAGGTCACTTACTTACTGCGTAAGTTTGGTGACGTCATTTGATTTGTTACCATGGATACAGGGAGAATTAGTTTATCGTCGGCCTATTTCTATACCCAATATGGAAAAATGACACCTTTTGTACATATTCTATTTGTGTACAAAAAATTTCCATAATATCTTCAAAATTAATGGATTTAAGGAATTAAAACCTTTGAAAAAAATATTTACAGAATTTATTCCACATACCTTTTTGAATGTGAAGAGCTACGAGTGCAAAAAGGTCACGATAATTGTAATAAAGATATTTGAATAGTCTGCAGAAAAACAGCTATAAAATTCCAAGAAACGCTTCCATTGATTTAATATTTTTAAAAAGTGATTGTTTTTAAATATTTTATTTAGTATTAATGGGATTTTGGTTGCAAATTCAAATTAATGGAGTTTTCACTCTTGTAAGTGCAGAACTGCAAGTGCAAAAAGGTCACAATAATTCTAAGGGATATTCTGTAGAAAAAACAGGCATAGAATTTCAAGAGACACTTCAGTGATTATATTTTTTATCAAGAAGTATTTGTTTTAAGATATTTTAGTAAAAATAACAGGCAATTTGGTGGCACATTTGAATTAGTTGATTTTTTCACCCTAGCAAAATTAAACTATACCCGGTATATGGGTAGAAAGGCATACTGGACTACTGGAGCGATTACATTTTGAACATTAAATCATTTCAGGCACATGACCTTCAATCTTCATGACTGAAATTAGCTTATATTTATCCTGAATGTCACAAAGATGCATGATTTGAATATTTGTTTAACCAGAAGTTTTTTTTGAGACTGTAGCTCTACTGGTTTGTACTTCTAATAAAGGACAACATAAGTAGCAGTTGGACTTGAAACTTTGCAACAGCAACAAATAGAATTATGATCCTTGATTTGGTCTCTTTTCATGGAACTGTGACTAAAACTAAAGGAGGAGTAGATTTTAAAAGAATTTTACAGAAATTTCTATATTAGTAACCATGGCAACACTGTTCATCAAAATCAAAATCCGATAAAAAAAATTATGTATCTCAGTGTAGTCTACTTGTGTGCCAAGTAACATTGAAATCAGACCAAAACTGTAGGAGGAGTAGCTTTTGTTGACAGACAGACAGACGACCAACACCTTACTATCGCATAAGCTCTTCTGGTCTCTAACCAGTAGAGCTAAAAATCATGAGTTTTTGACAAGGCTTAATGTATTATAGCAATGAACTGGCTGTACATGTAGCTATGGGGCTCATTTTACAGGATCCCTTAGCATGAAAATGCACATTGCAAAAACTGCAAATACATAAAATTGCAAGTTTAACAGAGAGAGTGTTCAAAAGTGTGAACACATCAGTAAATAAAATCCACTTTTTCACAGTGTTGTCCAAATTTCATACAGTTCTTCACTGCAAAAGTTGTTTTTAAACATGCAACACATTTTATACAAATGCTGATTTTGTTTGCCCTAAAATTATACAAATGAATGAACATAACAAAGTTTATGTCTTTTTTAATACCATAAAGTCATAAAAACACAACCAGTATTTAAATGAAGTATTTGACAATGCTCAATTAAGTTCCTTCAACTGCATTTGAAAAATACCAAATGTATCATGTACATGTTACTTTTACAAGAAAATTTAAAGACAGCAACATTATAAAAATTTTTATTAATAAGATGATCTCTAATTTTAAATTGTCAAAAAAACAAAAACAAAAAATAAAAACATGTTTGAAGCTACTACACTGAAAGAAAGCAAAATATATGAAACATTAATTAGTGTCTAGGAAAATCAAGGAGTCCCAAAACTGTCATGAAAAAAACAAGAGGCCCAGGGGCCACATCGCTCACCTGAGCACTCAGGCTAGGAAAAAGCAGAAATCAGTTCAGTCTTGAAAAGTTTTGATATAAAAGTGGTTTGAGGGGGGGGGGGGGGGGGGGGGGGTGTTGATTTGAACTTGAATCTATACTTCAAAGGGATGCTTTTGAATTAATTTGACAAATAATAGCTATGTTGTTCTTAAGAAGACAATTTTTATTGATATATCATTTGTATATAAAAATGACCAATCATGGCTTTTTTGTTCTTGAAAAGAAGATTTTTAAAGATTTTTCCAATATATTCCTATGAAAAACTTTGATTGCCCATTGTGGCCCCACCCTACCCCTGGGGGTCATGATTTGAACAAACTTGAATTGACGCTACCTGATGATGCTTTCATATAAATATGACCAATCATGGCTTTGTTGTTCTTGAGAAGAAGATTTTTAAAGAGTTTTCCTATATATTCCTATGTAAAAGTTTGATCGCCCATTGTGGCCCCACCTTACCCCCGGGGGTCATGATTTGAACAAACTTGAATCTACACTACCTGAGGATGCTTCCTTATAAGTTTCATATTTTCAAGCACTGTGGTTCTTGAGAAGAAGATTTTTAAATGATGCCATCAATTTTTCACAAATTCATGATTATCTCCCCTTGGAAGATGTTGTGGCCCTTCATTTGAAGAAACTTGAATTCCCTTTACCCAAGGATACTTTGTGGCAAGTTTGGTTGAAATTGGCCCAGTGGTTCTTGTAAAGAAGATGAAAATGTGAAAAGTCTACAACGACGACGATAGACAACAGACAAATTTCGATCAGAAAAGTTCACTTGAGCCTTCAGCTCAGGTGAGCTAAAAAACCGTTTGATCCTTTTCCT